GGAAAAGAAAAAATAAACGTCTTTTAAAACAAGTGCATATACATGCAAAAAAGTGCCATTCATTGTCCAAAACTCCACTATCAATATTAATGTACATGATTAACGTGCAACATTTTTATTTGAAGTTGAGATACACTATGTGTATATAAATTGTTTGAAAAATATGAATAATCAATTTTATTCAATTTACATAATTGTTTCATCATTCGGTTAAAGTAAATTTGAAAACTAAATACTTCTAGAATTTTTCTACAGTATTAAAATCGTGTACCACTACATAGACATTTCATTATTTAATACTTTTTGAGTAAAAATGACTTACCTTTGGACAATAGAATAAAGAAAGATATTACACAGAAGCACAGTGATATTGGAGGTAAACTTCTCGCCATAACTGTTGCTGACAATTCTCTCAGTAGATCTGGAGGGCGCCGAGCTATCGATTGTCCCGTTCCAAGAATCGATTGGAGATTTTATACGTCAGGAAAACATAAATCTGTCGATATCTGGATACCTAATGGGGAATTGATTGACTGAACTGAACAATACCTGTGGAATTACAAGTGTTGGGAAATTAAAAAAAGAAATCTGAAATTCGATAAACCTAATAAATCCTGAACTCGTACATCCTTCCATCGACCTGAACAATGTTGTATGTAAATTTTCCAAGAGATTTCAGCATAATAATGCTATAGAAATACTTGAGGATGTATTGTTTCGTGGAATTTGAATGCATGTTTGTTTAATTTTTGCGTACTCGTGACCATACAGTCCTGGTCAGTTATTAGTTGACTGATGACGACCAGAGCAGATCTACAACAATCATGAGTAGGGCGAAATCCAGTCAAAAACTGTCTAAAAATAATCAGAGGAATAAAAGTATTTCACATGGAAATCTCTTTTTATTTTTATTTTAACAAAATATAATTGTGACGTCACCATCAGCTGCAAGTGCGTTGTATGCCGTTCGAATGAACTCCCTGTAATATACATCTCAGACCGAAATGATCATCTTAAACAATCTTATTTGTTTGAATACTCAAATCAACTTTCTTTATTATTTAATAATATACATTTATTGACTGGGTTCGAGGGCAACAATCTATTGATAGTTGTTAAAAAAAGAACATTTTTTATCTTTTCTCAAGGGTACACCTTTATATAAACTGAGATTCCTAATGTTGGGATAATGACTGTCTCACAAGGAAGTTACCTTATCTTCACTATAAGTATTTGGCCATTTTTATGTTAAAATCATAATTTCATTTTATTTGAACAATGTTGAATCGCCTATTGTACTGTTCATTTGACAGAGGTGGGTTAAAATTGTTTCATGTTTCTGGAGAGAGAGAGGGGGGGGGGGAGAGATTTCTCCGGAATTGCAAAGGAAACCGTGCAAACATCTTCACAACGTCAAGGTTTTGTGAAACCGTTCCTCTTCACAGTGAAAAATTCTCGAACGGGACGTAAAACAACACACAATCAACCGATCAATCTTAATATAAAATAAACAAACATCCGATATTTTATTTGAGGTTACTAGAAACAAATCCTACAATATCGCTGCTTTCCATTTTAAGAAAGGCCATATCAATTTACAACGCTTACCAACAATAGAGAAAGTTTTCTGATTGGTTCCAGTCCTAGACCGGGAACAAATGAAATGGTAGCTTTCTAGCCCGAAATTTAAATCGCAACTTTTGTCAAGAGTTTGTCTGTTTGTGTAGAGGAAGATATCACAAAGCCTTGACATGTATGCATTGTGAAGATGCCGTGCAAATAGCTACAGTATTTATTTATTGGTTTACTATGAGTTTTTTTTCTGAATTGTGTTTATAAGTGTTTTAAACGAACGTTATATGTAAAATATTCAAGGTTTTACATTTTGTATGATGATTTGCAGGTCTATACAACATGAATAAGTGTTTATAATTTTATTCGATCTTCTCTGGACCTATCGATTGCCTGTTTCTTTCGCCGGAAAACTTCGATGTTGTGATATAACTATTCCTCTCCCTTTGAACATATTTTCCTGTAATAAATTAAAACACATACAGGTATCTTTAAAATACTATCACTTACCTGTCGTTTGCAACTTCATATGTCAAATCTATGTACATGTAAATTCATCTGACATCATTTTGAAGGAAGATTACAAAAACTAGTTAAAATTTTTATTATAGATATATTTATTGGTCAATTTTCAGAGACATCTTAATTGTTTTGGAAATCATAAAATTTATTGAACTATCTCAAACAAGTTGACGAAAGAAAGAGAAGGATCCATGAATCATTAAGATGTTTAATTGCCGTGCATTGGTATCGATAGTGTACTTATCAGCAGAATGTTAAGATTTGGTTTTACCTAGGATTTTTCTACATGCATTTATTTTCTCGATATGTAGAATATTGTTCAATTTCTTAAAAATCAAAAAGAAAATACCATCCGAAGTACGAATGTAGCAAAGAGAATTTCTAAAACGAGGCAAGCTATTGAGAAATAAGTTGATGAAACAAGAATATAAACAGTCTCGTTAAAGTCAACATTTCGCAAATTTTACAAAATCCTTGCGAGCAAATACAATCTATTTTTAAGTCGAATGTTTAAAATGTTTTTCATACAAATTGTTAGGCCATTACTTTGAATACTTTCACACTTTTTCTCGTTTGCATGATCATGACAAGGAGCACACGACGAGTGTGACCGGTCGACATGGGATACTTATTCCTCCATGGCACTGATCCCATCTCTATTTTTTTTTTTTAGAGGTCCATGTTTGCTCTGCTCCCAATTTGTTGTTTCAGTGGACTTTTGGGCTCCATTACTGTTCGTTATCTTTAACCGACTTTTGGGCTTGATTACCGTTCGTTATCTTCAATGGACTTTTGGGCTCCATTACTGTTCGTTATCTTCAATGGATTTTGGGCCCCATTACTGTTCGTTATTTTGGTTCCATTACTGTTCGTTATCGTCATATTCCATTATGTTCTTACTCTTTTAGTGCTACCTACAATTTGTTATCTATTGCATTTTATAATCTTAAGTCCAGATTCCAGGCCCTGTTTGTTGGTCTCGTCTTCTGTTCTGATCCAAAAGAGCATATCGTAGTGAGAGTCATTTAAGTCTCATTAGGCAAACATACAATGTACGCAAGAAGATCAATTGCTTTAATTGTTTGTGGAGTATGTCCAAGAAGTAGTCAGCAAACAGACGAACCTGGCCAGGATCCAGAATTCTCGTAACTTTAAACAATCCTTATGTAATAATTTACATTTCTTCATTGTCGTTGACATTTATATAAAAAAATGATGACATCATCCAAGTCCTTAAAAAAAGCAGTCTCCCTTTAGTGTAGATCTATATTTTTTTTTCAAAAAAAAAAAAAATTCCCCCGATACTACGTATCTGACAATTATCTAAACGATCGTTCTAGATCACTCATGTACTTTGTAGGGTAGAAGACTGAAAACTTTATCCAGTAAGTACCAGGTAGCTCCCGCATTAAGCGGCTGTCCAAGAATTGGCTAGCTCCTAGCTACCACTGTTTACTAAAAATTCTGCTGTTTTCATCTTCCTTCTGGCAATAGTTATTCTCTGGCTCTGCTCCGTCAGGCCATGAAAGTATATCCAACCACTAAATATTTAAAACAATCATAGATATACACTGTCGAAATAGATAACTTCAGAATGACTGCAGAGATTTCTTTGAATGAGAAGCACACAGACCCCTCTAAAATTGTAAGAGTCATGTATCTGACTTATGAAAGTGTTTTCTCCACCCCCAACCCGATTTTTTTTTTTCGGAATAAGTGTTTTGCGTTTCTTTTTTTATTTCTTGCTTGTCAAAAAAGAATTCCGAGTCTGACAACGGTGTTCATGTTACCCCCCCCCCCCCCCCCCCGGGGGAAAAAATTCCTGGATCAGCGCCTGATGATTGATTGATTGATTGTAGTTTTATGTCCCATTCGAGAATTTTTCACTCATATAGAGACGTCACCATATACCGGTGAAGGGCTTCAAATTTAGACCTTTACTCAGGACTCAGGGCCATTGAGCAGTGAAGGATCTTTATCGTGCCAACGTGTGCCGTGACACGGGGCCTCGGTTTTTCAGGTCTCATCCGAAGGTCCCGCAACTTTCACTTCAAATTGGCGAGCGCATGGCGAAGGAACAGTTGCTACGCATTTTTTTATCGACTTAGGTCAGTCGCGGCCGAGATTCGAACTCACGACCTCCCGATCACGGAGCGAGCGCTCTACCGAGCTACGCCTGAAGCAGCAGCTCTGATGGAAACAAGAGTATATTCCCAAATAGGAGGGTTGTATATTTAATGTTTCGAAAAATAAAACTTATCTGTTACAGGCATACAGCGACGTATACTAATTTAATATCGCAACAGAAAATGGCTAGAAGGACTGGGGCTACATATAGCAGATCCATGCAGTGTCTCGCCCTTTAGGAAGGAAAGGAGTTGAGGGCAAGGGGAGGTATTATTTGCAATTCTCCTTTACTCCGATGTCAAGAACCGGCAAGTCAAAAAAGAAATGAGATGAGAATGTAATATGTCGAACTCTACACGGTAAGGTACCAGTTAACCTGCGATTTGAATTTCAACATTAACAAGATTTGTTTTAAATAGTCGACTCGATCATGGGTATTCAGTAGTTGGAACAATTTAGTCAATTTTCTGAGGCCTTCAATCGGGTAGTGAGAAGAATTGGCTATACATTCTGTATTCTTGAAATCAATAGCCTCTTTCAATTAAGGGCCATTTTTTTTAGATTCAAATTTATGTATTTTCCCCATCCCAAAAGAGAATACATGTACATGTATTCAAATTTCGCAGAACATCATAAAGTGATTTCTCCTCTCTTGATTTTTTATGTTCCATCATTATTGATCCCTCGCCTCAGTATAAAATATAGTAAGCATCATGGCTTTTTTTTTCTTTACCAGTAAATCTTCTTATGAATTATATGACAGGAAAAGAAACATCATATAAGATGTATTGGTAATCCGACTCTTTATTTTAACAAAGAAAAACTCCATAAAATACCAGATGATGTAATGTAAACTTAGAATTTCATACATGTAATTATTTTGATTAACTAAGGCATACTTTTCTGTGCATAGTGGAAGACCCTTAACATTCTAATGCAACGTCAGGTATGTGCTATCAACTTTCATTTAAAATAACTCTAATATGATGAAAATGGTATAATATGTGTAGACAGAAAAATAAAAGTATACACACTGCTAGTCAACTTGTATGATGAAAAACATTGATGGCAATATCACTGAATTAAATTTTCCTCAACAACTTGTTAAAAAAAAACAAACAAAACAAAAAACAAAAAAAACCCCCACTATTATTGCTCTCATATAAAGAAAATATCAGATGATTTTGAATTCACTTTTGCTTTCTTGCTTTTCAGAGTGAACTCCATTATCCATCAGAATTTGGTACCTATTTGTGATTTTGTAAAGAAAAAAATCCCATCAATTTTTCCTGACAACCTGCACAGCAGTGTTAATGTCACAGTTTTATCAGAAAAGAAAAAATCCCAAAAGATTATAACTTATAATACAGTAGATGTATATACAATGTACATTGTTTACAATTTATGTTTATCACAAATTGTCTTATCTGTAATTCTAAATCATTATCACAGTAAGTTTGAGGACTGTAAAAATGCCCCTTTATAACTTTATAAATAATTTCCCCTTTTTTCTCAATTTTGTTCTTGGAATAAATTTTGAGGAATATAATTCTATGATGTTTATGACTTAAACCTACTTCAAAGCATTTATTCTAATAAGACCACAATGGTTAGTGCAGCATACTTTTCTGTTCTTGCTTACATAGGTTTAGAATCTCACAGGTTAATGTTTCCATAAACTCATTAAAATCTCTGTGTGTGTGTTGGGGGGGGGGGGGGGGGGGGTTAACAAAATAAATCAACCCTTTTAACATATTGGTGGATTTCTCTTATCTGTAAGTGATAGGGTGAAAATCTTATTTGGCATAGGAATAAATATCCAGGAACATTTTGGAAGCGATCAAACACCCAACCCACTCATAGTTGTACAGAAGGAAGGTAGGTGACTGCTTGCTTATCAATCACCATTTCCTACAGCACTCTTCATCTGTTGATAATAAGGGCTTTTCATTGGCATAAAGAATCGCTGTTCATCTGACACGGCCTCACACTGTAAGTAGACAAATATTCTCTAGATTTATCTTAAAGCCAATGTACAAGTTAAGGTACATGTTTAAGAGGCCTTGATAATCAGGGTATATGTAATAATTTGCTAAACTTATATTAATGGCAAACATAAAGTACAATTAAGCTTTTATAAAGTATAAAATATACAAATTACAAAGAACATACATTAGAGAATGTTGAGTTCTTCATAACTTTAACGACACTTAGGACAGTTTTAGAGGCAGATGGCTTCTTCTCATCAGTTTCCCATGGCTTTCTCCGGAATCGACTACTAATTGGGAACATATGACCTTCTGTATTAAATACATATTTAGACTGTGCCTTGTTTAGATGGTTGTCTTTGTCAAATAACTGTAATAAACAAAGTTTAATGAAAACTACATATTCTTTAATTGTACAGAACATTCACCAAGAATCATAGTTACTAAGACATTATCACAGAAACTAACACATACCAAGTACAGAATCCCAGACAATTACACATACCACATACAGAATCACAGACACTAACACACACCAAGTACATAATCACAGACACTAACACATACCAAGTACAGAATCACAGACACTAACACATACCAAATACAGAATCACAGACACTAACACATACCAGGTACAGAATCACAGACACTAACACATACCAGGTACAGAATCACAGACACAAACACATACCAGGAACAGAATCATCAGACACTTACCCATACCAGATACAGAATCACAGACACTAACACATACCAAGTACAGAATCACAGACACTAACACGTACCAAATACAGAATCACAGACACTAACACATACCAAGTACAGAATCACAGACACTAACACATACCCAAGTACAAAATCACAGACATTAACACATACCAAATACAGAATCACAGACACTAACACATACCAAGTACAGATTCACAGACACTAACACATACCAGGTACAGAATCACAAACACTTACACATACCAAGTACAGAATCACAGACACTAACACGTACCAAGTACAAAATCACAGACACTAACACGTACCAAATACAGAATCACAGACACTAACACATACCAAGTACAGAATCACAGACACTAACACATACCCAAGTACAAAATCACAGACATTAACACATACCAAATACAGAATCACAGACACTAACACATACCAAGTACAGATTCACAGACACTAACACATACCAGGTACAGAATCACAGACACTTACACACACCAAGTACAGAATCACAGACACTAACACATACCAAATACAGAATCACAGACACTTACACACACCAAGTACAGAATCACAGACACTTAAACAAACCAAGTACAGAATCACAGACACTAACACATACCAAGTACAGAATCACAGACACTAACACATACCAGGTACAGAATCACAGACACAAACACATACCAAATACAGAATCACAGACACTAACACATACCAGGTACAGAATCAAAGACACTAACACATACCAAGTACAGAATCACAGACACTAACACATACCAAGTACAGAATCAAAGACACTAACACATACCAAGTACAGAATCACAGACACTAACACATACCAGGTACAGAATCACAGACACCAAAAGATACCAAGTACAGATTCACAGACACTAACATAATCCAGTACAGAATCACAGACACTAACATAATCCAGTACAGAATCACAAACACTAACATAATCCAGTACAGAATCACAGACACTAACACATACCAAGTACAGAATCAAAGACATTAACACATACCAGGTACAGAATCACAGACACAAACACATACCAAGTACAGAATCACAGACACTAACACATACCCAAGTACAAAATCACAGACATTAACACATACCAAATACAGAATCACAGACACTAACACATACCAAGTACAAAATCACGGACACAAACACATACAAAATACAGAATCACAGACACTAACACATACCAAGTACAGAATCACAGACATTAACACATACCAGGTTCAGAATCACAGACACAAACACATACCAAGAACAGAATCACAGACACAAACACATATCAAGTACAGAATCGCAGACACTACCACATACCAGTACAGAATCACAGACACTAACATATACCAAGTACAGAATCACAGACACTAACACAAACCAAGTACAGAATCACAGACACTAACACATACCAAATACAGAATCACAGACACTAACACATACCAAGTACAGAATCACAGACATAAACACATAACCAAGTGAAAAATCGGTCACTAAAAGAAAATCAAATGCAGTATCAAATTTATGCTTCATCAAAATTTTAAAAATGCACAGTACTGAACAAATTTACAAATGGTTATGCTATGAGCTACATTTTGGCGTTGTCCATGTTGTACCGACAGCTATTTTGAATGATTCATTTATCTGAGGGATACTTTATTGAAATTTCAGTGTATTATGTAAAAAATGTTGATTATGGTGCATACCAATTTTTTCAACTTTATAATATAAATGAAACAAAATTATTGAAATTGTTCATGCTTTTCTGGGACAATCCTTGTACAGGCACTTAAACTTGCTAGATACAGATGTCACAATACAAACACTTTCACAAAGCACAATATCACAGACACTAAAGTAATAGAACTTAACACACTGATAATTACCTTGTAGTTGTATCACAGACACTAATACTTACCAAATACAAGTATTTACATGTTTCACTAAGGAAAAAGCTTTCCATTCTGTCCTCAAGTGATTTATCATTTACATCATGCACAGTTCCATAGCCACATCTGCATAAGTACAGAAAGGTGTTAAAGTCATTCTGAAATGAGATATTTTCCTTTCTTTAATAAACACTTTGTCTGTCGTTAAAGTCATTCTGAAATAAGATATTTTCCTTTGTCTAATAAACAATTTGTCTGTTAGATGTCCAGTCACCTGATTGACTTAGGTGACTTAAAAATCAATTCCTTTAAGATTGCATGGAGAAATTGAAAAACAGAACATAGTACTTCATTATATTTTATAATATAAATTAAGACATTTCACTTTATTCAGTAAAAGAGTAGTACTCCTTTAAACAAAAACTGTTTTAGTGATCTGCTCTGTCTCTGTAAACTAAACAAAAGGCCCATGGACCACATCAACAGAGAAAGCAGAAATCAGTTCAGTATTGAAAAGTTTGAACATTTAAGTGGTCCCATCCTACCTCGGGAGGGGCGGGGGAAGGGGCCATGATTTAAACAAACTTGAATCTACACTAACTGAAAATGCTTTCATATTTGTATGACTAATCATGGCTTTAAAAGACTTTTACTTATTTGCACCCATATATTCTTATGTAAAAATTTGACCATCTAATGTGGCCATGCCTTATGCCTAGGGATCAAGACTTGAACAAACTTGAATCAACACTACCTGAGGGTGTTTCCATATTAATATGACCAATAAGGGCTTTGCTTTGATCAAAAGAAGTAAACAATTTTCAATGCTGGTCTAAAATTTGAATAAAGTTCATAGTATGCCCAAAATCCAGAGAAAGTGGGGATCTTATCATAGAATCATACATGTGTACCTTCTTTTCTTTTTTTTTTTTTTTTTAACCATTTTTAGGTCCAAATGAATTTGTTTCATGATAAAATAACATTAAATTTGTATTTATTTTAAGGGATTTCATATTTGTATGTATTTGCGTTGAATTTCACTGTAGATATTATAGATTTGAGTTGAATGAATAAATAAGGCCGGTTTGATAGGGTAATTTCGTGATAAATATATGTTTTAGCAATAACTAAGCCTGCACAAACTGTTTTAAACATTTCTATAGCATAATTTTTTAAGTATCCTATATCCTTAAAAATGTGCTACTGATATTTTGATTTTAGCAAGGTAACAACCTTTACACACTAAAAACGACAAAGGAATCCTGTAATAGTTTTGCTGTAAGAGACCTACTCAGCCTGAGTGTAGTTGATCAGGTTGTACAAAATGTCTCGACCTACATGGAGGTAGAATGGGTTTTTGGTTGCTTGATATAAAAAGTATGTGGACTCAATCAACTCTGGTCGAAGAGGATAAAAGTTCACTTCTGGGACACGAAGATACCAATTATATCGCTCTGGTAGAACATCGAACTTCTTCCATATAGAATAATACAGGGCATGAGAACATATTGCTTCATCAATGTCTCCATTTAACACCTGCAAACAGAAATACAGTGTGAATGAAATGCAAACTTACCAGTCTGAAAGCAAAGCTACCCAATCTTTGTGCTTATTAGTCCCCTACCAGTGATACCGTAGGGGACTATAGGTTTCTTCCTCATCTGTCCATCTGTCTGTCTGTCCTATTTGGTTCTCTACACTATTTTTTCTAAATGCTTGGAGATATTGAGCTTATTTTTGGTATGCGAGTGTACCTTGATGAGGTACTGATCAAGTTTGAATTTTGTCTCACTTAGATTTTTGAAAGAATTGTTACAGTAGCTTTTTTCATTTTTAAGGGGAACCATATTACACATGTTGGCAGGGGACTATTACAGTAACTGCTTATGCAATACTCTCAGAATGCTTATATATAATATTTAAATGAAAATGATCATCATGTCCTTTTCCATATGATGTCTCATATGAATCATTTTCAAATATAAGCATTTATCTTTGGTCCTTCGGCTTAAATTAGGGTCTTGAGTTGACATGGTAAAAGCTTTGTTAGCAGACCTGTACTCCTGTCCAAGCTGCCTGCAGCGAATCAATCCAATGATTAATGGTGTCACCAGTTTTCATGTTTACATTGACATATATTGGAGGGTTTCCATCACCTTTGTTACATTTTAATCTCCTAGACGAATTAAAATACAGATGTCATTTAAACTACTTCAAACTTGGCAAAGATTATCTGAATTTTTTTTTTTTCATTTTTTAAAAAGTCAAAGAGCATTTCAACATTTTTTTAAAACATACCCTCTTCTCATATGAAATTTTATGGACTCATATAATTCTTTGAACATTTTGTAGTCTTCAGTTTCACCAAACAATATGTAGGTCTGTAAAAAAACAAATGATATACTTACATGTGAACTATAAATCAAAATGGAAACACTATGCTTTACATTATTCATTAAATATTAAGCTAATCAAAAAAAAGTATAAAATAGAATAAAAATCCTTTGATTAAGATACAATTGTATAAACACAACCTTAAGTAAATATTCATAAAAAGAGTCAAATCCTGCACCAAGGCCACTCATCTGTCCCAACCACTGTCCAGTCTGAATATTAATCACATTCCCTACAAAAGACTTCATCATAAAGTCCACATATTTAAACTCATCATATAGTCCACATATTTAAACTCTTTATATAGTCCACATATTTAAACTCATCATATAGTCCACATATTTAAACTCTTCATATAATCCACATATATTTAAACTCTTCATATAGTCCACATATATTTAAACTCATCATATAGTCCACATATTTAAACTCATCATATAGTCCACATATTTTAACTGCTGTAAGTTACTGGATTAAGTACATGTAAGTGATGATATAAAACCACATCTATAAAGCTAAAAAATTATATATCTGATCAGTGATGCTAAATAAAATACATGTCTGCAAAGCTAAATAAAGTTCATGTCAATGATGCTTAATAAAGTATATGTCAGTGGTGATAAATAAAGTCCATGTCAGTGATGATAAATAAAGTACATGTCAGTGAAGTTAAATAAAAGTACATGTCAGTGAAGCTAAATAAAGTATATGTCAGTGATGATAAATAAAGTAGATGTCAGTGATGATAAATAAAGTACATGTCATTGATGATAAATAAAGTGCATATCAGTGAAGTTAAATAAAAGTACATGTCAGTGATGATAAATAAAGTCCATGTCAGTGAAGCTAAATAAAGTACATGTCAGTGATGATAAATAAAGTACATGTCAGTGATGATAATTAGTGATGTGAATCAGTAAGAATTTCATAATTGATGATCGGGTTACTAAAACTAACTAAATAACGATTATAATAGGACATTTACAAAGTCTATCAATTTAGTTAATTAAATGGTAGGAATGGGTAAATGACTACTTTCTGCATATATATTTGTTGTTTATTTTGCCGAAAAAGAATAAACGGATATCATCTGAGTGTTTTATTGAGTGTGTATCTCTTTTTCTTTAATTTTTCTTCATACACTGTACAGATATAAAACTTGAGTCCATACCTGGGAACATGCTTTGTTACCCAGGTAAGGAAACAATTGTCTGTTTGTCTGCGCCATTACAATGCACAAATGAGTTAATAGATAAGTTGTGGCTAAAATATTCGACTTAAAAATAATTACGTTTGTAAAATAAAATTTTTTAAAAAAAATTTATTGAAATAAAAATTTTGTAATTGAGCGCTTGGATTATGCCAGCAATCAGATGGTTTTTCGATTATAATTGATGATTGGAACACCACTAACAATAATTAAGTACATGTCAGTGATGATAAATAAAGAACTATATATGCTAACGATGATTAATAAAGTATATTTCAGCAATGATATAAAATACATTAGTGATGCTTTTTAAAATAATACATCAGTGATGCTAAATAAAGTACATATACATGCAAGATTTTGTGAATAAAGCATATGTCAGTAATATGAAATAAAGTTATATGTGAGTGATGCTAATTATCTGTGTGTCTGAAAGTATACCTCACCTGGTAAGCCAGTAATGTTTGAGCGATACTCCCACAACCGTTTGACGGCTCGTCTTGCATAGGATTCATAAATAGGATCCCCAGTCAGGCGTGACAGAATACCAAATTCTAGCACCAATGACCCAGCCCCTGATGTACATGTCTCATTAACACAATTCTCCGGAACTCCTTCATTTAATTTTACCTACAACATAAAGTGCACATACACATTTTGTAGAATACTCATAAGGAAATAATTTATGAATAAATTCAACAATTTGTATAACACTGTAAATTGAATGTCAACTAGCAAACAGACTTGTATAACATTTGGCATAAAACTTTAAAGAGTTGCAATCTGCTCTAATACATGTACAAGTATTATATCCAATCTACTTGAATGGCACACATTTAATAAATCTTATCAATGCTTCCTCATCCATGGAAAATCTTTTCCCAAAATCATTAAAATCTCGTCACATAATTTGCAGATGAACATAAGTGACAAATTATAATAATAATACTTTTATTTTGAGAAGGTAACCTGATTAGTGTGACACACTATTTTTCGAACTACTCCTTCAAACTTTTTGATAGATGTCAGGATAATGAAAACAAGAAGTCTGTGAGCCAATGCTCACTAGTTATACCCCTGCTTTGATGTGAATATATACTCTGATGTGAATGCACAAAAGTTCAGTTACGAAAGACACAGGGATGAACGTACGTATGTTACAGATAGATGCACAGATAAACAGGAAGTTGACATCAGATTCATACAAAAATGAATCCCACCATATAACATGCTTCAACAAAATGTGTGCTAAAATTTCAAGCCTCTGCGATGAGCAGTTGCTGAGAAAACTGTGATGAAAAATTTGTTATGGACGGACAGACAGCTAGACACACACAAAGACAGGCACACAAGGGTAAAACAGTATACCCCCTCTCCTTCGGAGCGGGGGTATAATTAATCAAACTACACTATAACTAAAATGTATCAGTAATGATGTGATAAATTAAATTCAAACTTTCAAGAACCTTTAGAAAGATAAAGTGGCTTAATTTGCACCCATTGGCATATGTCTGATTTTTGGAAGTTCAATTTTGGTCTAAAACTTTATGTCTGACTAATGGGTCCAGAAAAATCAATATTTCTCTGGACAAGGAAATCTAGTATTTTCTTCACAACACCAATGATTATCATTGACAAAAGTTGGGACATATTCTAAGATTCTACCATGCAAGAAAGGAACATCTAAGGTTACCGTAAAGTAAAAGTACTTACAAATTTTATTAATTAATTGTTTACTGTTATAATGTTTACATAAAAGATCAAATATCTATGTCATACCCCTAAAACATACTTTGAAACACAAGTCCAATAGAATGTCACAAGTGAAAAATCGGAGTCTCAACCTGGACTCAAACCCAGGCCTCTGGCATACCAGGCCAGTGCTCTATCCACTGAGATATAGAAACCCCATATGTATGTAGACCAACTTTCAAATACCTGGTAACCCAGTGACATATTCACCTTCTTTGAAGAAATTCATCCTGAATTCTAGGAGTTATGGATAAGCAATAGTGCACGAACTGACTTATATGTGAGTGTATACAATGTCTGATTTCTCTTTCATATTTTTTCTTACTCTAGGAAATGGTATCCCTGTGGCTGTATTTTCAAAAGCTGGTAGTAACCTAGAAGCTATGTCATTAGCTAGCAACAGTAGCTCATTGTTATAATCTTTTAGCCTCATGTCTCCAAATGGCTGTTCCTGGTCTGTAATAATGAGATGTGTGGATAGAAGAGATCCCAAGATTCTACAAAGAAAGCAAAGAACCAGTCTTATTCCACAGCTCTTCTTATAACTCCTGATAAAGAAAACACTCCATTTTATGTGCAATGCAAAATCACAATGATATAATGATGACAGCACTTTGATAAGGTGTTTCAGACAACACTAAAAAATTACTTTATCAAATAAAACCATAAAATAATGTAAACACATGTAAGCATTACAATTGTATAAATATATATGTAAATTAAACTGATCAATTCTGGTTTGCATTCAATTTTTCAAATCTATGAAAGAAATTTATCACTACAACATTTTAAATTATCTTAACAGAAGAAACTTGCTGTTACCTGATTGTGACTTCAAACACTTGTACAGTTGTTGGTTTGTCAAAGGACAAGTTATCAATAACCAACTGAACAGCTCTCTTAAACTCAGTTTCATTTCCCATTATCTTAAACGAATTAAAAATAAAGTAAAAATCAAAGACTAACTAAACAACTCTCATAAACTTGATTTCATTTTCCATTATCTGAAATATTAAAAAAAAATTAAAAATCAATAACAATTGTACAAACTTTTAATACCGTACATATTTTATTATAAAAGTAATGAACATTCAATAGTCAATAGTATGTGCAATTAACCATATATTGAATATTCATGAACATCCCTATGACTAGTACATTGTACATATCAATATATTATAATATATTTATATATTTCTATGTTACTTTGTCTTCTATTACAATATCTGCAACGTTATTCTTGACATGATACACAATAGGATAGGATTACACACATGATATAATAGGATACAAACCTAATAGGACACAGTAGCATTGTAAAGAATAACATTGCGAGTACTGTATACCCAAAGTTTGATTGAAATTGGCCATCTGTTTTTGTATATTAAGTTTAAAACGTGAAAAATTTGGCACATCAGACAACTGACAAACTTGGACAGGAGAACCTCAAAGTGAATGAGTTGCTTAAAATTTCTAATTTTGGCCTTACTGGTAATTGGTAAACTGAATTATCAAACAAATTATGAACTGATTATTACAAATATTATCTTGTTGAAATTCACTTACAGCAAGAGTGTCTAAAGTGTCCACCAAAGTCAGCATGTAATCCCCCAACACATCATTAATATTAATATTTGATCTGTATGAAAATAAATATAATTGTATAAAAATATACTTATATGAATTTCATTGCAGTTATCACAAATATGTACAACTGTAATAAATAACAATAAAAAAAATTAAACTGTAATAAATAACAATAAAAAAAATTAAATCTTACAGCATTACATTCTTCATCAGAAGTCTCTGAAGAGAGCTCTTCTAGTAAGGTATTCTACCTTTGAAAAACATGTGTACTTATATTGCTTCTGTCATTTCTGTTTTAAGAACATCGGATACTCAAAGCTTTGTGGATGGCCGAGTCTAAAATGTTATTATTTCCAAATGTACTTTTCAAACTCATTCCAGATGGCCCCTATTAGAAGCTTATCTTAGAGAATGTTACAAGTAAGTGTTGTGTTGAATCTAGATTCTTTTGCAGTATTTATCAATTCTAGTCTAAGTGTTGATAGCCAGGTAATTCAGTTATTAGAGCCTGACTAGTGATTCCAGGGGCACCAAGTTTAAATCCTGGTCTGGTCCATCACATTTTTCTCCCTGCCAGTTATACTTGCTTCCAAATAAACTTGCAAAGAATTATGTTAAAGCCTTTCAAGGAATAAAAGAGAAATTTGATGAATTCATCACAAAGTTTCTGCATCCAGAATTGACCTTAAGAACGCTGCCTGTCAGGTTTATCCCGTGTTCAGTTATTGTTTGTACTTCAAGTTTAGTTAATCCACTATTGAAAAAAATAACATGCATGTAATAAATATGTGATGTTCTGAGTGAAATAAGTTTCAATGCAAGTGCAAATAAATTGCTGAATCATGAGTTGTCCATTACGTGACTTGTCAACTGATGAGTTTTTGTATTGATGAAATGGTGAGAGTCAGAGAAATCTTGGATGAGTTCTGTTAATGAAAAGTTTTGATGAGTTGTCAGATCAGTACAGTGCATTTATAAGAGTTTGAAAAGCATTAATTTGTAGGGCTGGGACGATATATCGAGATATCGATAATATCGATTCGGTGTGAGAATGATACGCATATCGATACAAATTAAGAAATATCGAAATATCGTTAAAAAAAATTCAGACATATGTTTTTCTTTGTTTACATGTACTTAACATTTTGGGTTTAATATATAAAATAAATATGCTTAATATAAATACAAATATGAAATACATAATAATTAACAAACTTATGTAAAATAATTTTGTTTTACAATAGACATACAACCTCTATGAATAAATTATTCTTATTTGTGAAGAAATGTTTTGTTCATTTCAATACAAAAAGAAGATTTTTTTAACCATACACATATCGTGATACATATCATATCGTGGCTCAAATATCGTGATACGTATCGATATAGAAAAAGTTGTATCGTCCCAGCCCTATTAATTTGTTACATATGGAAGAAATAAAGAATGAGTGAATGACTATTCATATAGGTACTATGGGCTAACAAAACAACTGAAATCAAAGATGGGTCTTCCATTGCAGCATTTGAATACTTTTAAGCAAAAGATGTATTTCCATTGTTTGAGTAACCTTGTGTGCATCGAGACATGGATAAGTACATGTATGATCAGGGATAGAAATTAACTTTTTTGACCACTAGCAGATTTTAGCTAGTGGAATTTATTTTTACTAGCAATATTGAACTTTCACTAGCATTTTTTCTTCACATAGTAATTTTAACATAGGAGTTAATTATTTGAATAATTTAATAGAAAACTAATTTACACCTTGTGAGTTAATTTAGGTCATTTTATACAAGATGAAATCTAAACGGATACAGGGGTGAAGCAATCAAATCATTAGCCCCAAGAAAAAAATATTACTAGCTCAAACATAGGGGGAAGAAGTAACAACTAACAATGAAAAATAGTTTGTCATTGAAAAAGTCAGGGTCTTAAGGTCATTCTTTATAAAATTAAAGTTTAGTTCTCATTAGAAAAACTGAATCATATATAAATCAATAATTATGATTGAAAAAAAAAAAATGAATTTAAAAATAAATCATCTTCTTTTTTCTGGTCATTGCACTTTACAAACTATAGGAGCATGCTACCTGGATATTTTTCAATTTTGGAATAAATTGGGGAAAAAATCCGAAAAAAGTCCAGGTTTTTCTTACTCGCAAAGGTTGGCGACTACAGGTCGCTTTTCACTCCCATTTTCTGTTTTTAATTCCCTTTTAGCGTGTATTCCCGTTAATTTCGACCCCTGAAATGATTGTACAGAATTATTACCAATCAATTATCTTGTTGACCATAATTGGCCTCCTTTATAATTTCACTGCAGAAGTAACTGTATCAATTACTTTTTGTGCATGCTGAGAAAATAACATATCTAAGAAAAAAATGTGTGATAAAATAGCTAAATCAAGCTATTCTGAATAGCTTAATAAAGCTATATAGCTAAATCAAGCTACTTAGCTAAATCAGGAGATTGTGCCGGACCTGATATAGGCGTCATATACGGTAATACCGCGAATGATTCTAGTACGTCACGTTAACTCTGTCAAAACTATTTGAAAATAAAATCCTTATTGTGTTTACCATAGTTAACTAATGTTTTAGGTAAAAGTAAAAAAAAAAGACTTATCCAAATACTTACGGATTATCGTAGTCCGGACCTCTTCCTTCACAGTAAATGGGGTTTAGTTCGTCTAAGGGATAGGCATATTTCATGTAATTGTCGTATCCAAAGGTAAATACTTTTCGAACTGATTCCAGGCTTTCCAAACGGTCCTTTTCAGAAAAATGGCCATATTTCTTATCATATGGGTCTACATTACCTTTAAAGTGATATAATCTCGCTTGTGAATTATGTAAAAGTACTAAAACTATTAAAAACAACGTAAGTTTCATACTTTTCCATAACGTTTTCTGCTACACAGGAAGTGCCGAGCAGCACCGGAAAAATAAGCGACAAGAAATGTAGTTTGTCTCAAAAAAATCATCAAAAGATTGAAATGATCATTGAAAATTTCTTGAGATATTTTTGAATTTACAGAATTTATTTTCTGGTGATCAGTGAGTTATCTTTAAACTAAATAAGTCCGTTTTCAAGAGGTGTATGAATATATATTACTCTCAATATAGAAAGGTATATCCCAGTCTTTATCCAATCAAAAGCTATGACGTGGCCAGAACAATGAATAAGTATGAAAAGCAATGCGGGACAAATATATACTACCCAAAACAAGGGAAGATTGAAGACCGTAGCCCACTTACATCTTAGTTATGCGTTTTTACAAGGAGCTTTCCTGAGCAAACTTCATCTGTCAGTGTGAAATCTTTTAATTAATTTTTCACATTTAAGGGCACTTTAGAATAGAATATTTATTTAACCAATTTGGACCCACAGTGCAGCATAAAGATGAACAATGTCCGAAATCATAGTCATAAATTACAATTAACAGAACAAAACAATCAATTGTATATTGAACAGAGAGTTAGCTGTCAACTTTTAGGATGCATAAAATGTATACAAATAGTATATATGTATGACTGTAATATGCCTATATTGTACTATGTTGTTTTCTCATATTAAAATTTTCATTTAAATGTTGGCATAATAAAACAACAAACTCAGAATCTTCATTTGACATAATTCATGTAAACAAGTCCACATTATTAAGCAGTATTAAATTTGGAAAAGTTTTAAAGATTTTGTTTAAAAACTCTCCTCTAGAATCATTATACAATGGACATATTCTTGCAAAAAATGTATTTCATCCTCAGTTGGACTTGAAGTACAGTAACAACAGACTCTTTCACTCCTGGGAAGAATTTTCATTTTTACCACATTTATTAAGTATCCTTTCATATCTACCCGTCTCTACCCTTAAGCAATGATTACTAATTCTGAATTTTGTGGGAATTACCCGATTGTCCCGGTTTTTTCATATGAATTCAAGTATTTTTCAAAATTGAATGACAATACATTGTGAAAATAACGGCCTAACAATTCGACCTAAGGAAAGATTGTATTTGCAAACAAAGTCATTTCATCAACCCTATAATTTGTGAAATTTTGACTTTAAATGAGAGTGTTGATATCCTGATATCATCAACTTATTTGTCGATAGATTGCGATTGCCTCATTTTAGAATATATTTTGCTACATAAATAAGGGAAGTTGATGATAGAAAAGAGATTTTTCATCATTCTTTTTTTCTTTATTTTGTAGATGAATATCCAGAATATCAAAATATAGGTTAGTGTCATATTCTTAATTTTGAATTTACCGGGTGGGAGTAAAAACAAAATAAAGAACATGACAACTAAAAAAATAAAATCTTCATTCCAAGAATAAGAATGGTAAAACTTACTATTTTTTGATATAGAAACTTTTACTCCCTCTTCAGGCTCACAGTAACTCTAATATGGAATTGTATTAGTATCCCCTGTATTATATAGAGCTGTTTTACTCTACCAATGTCTCCCCTATTATGTAGAGCTGTTTTATTTTATTAATGTCCCCTATATTACATAGAGCTGATTACGCTATCAATGTCCCCTCTATTATAATGGGCTGTATTACTCTAACAATGTCTCCTCCATTATCTAGAGCTGTTTTACTCTACCAATGTCCCTTCAATTATTTTGAGTGGTTTTTAACAATGTCCCTTCTTTTATATCAGGCTGTATAAATCTACCAATGTCCATTCTTTTATACAGAGCTGTTCCTTCTATCAATGTTCCCTCTATCATATAGAGCTATATTACTCTACCAATATCTCCTCTATTATATAGAACTGTATTACTCTACCACTGTCCCCTCCATTATATAGAGCAGTATAACTCTACCATTGTCCCCTCTATTACATGTATATAGAGCTATATTACTCTACCATAGTCTACTAGATTATATAGAGCTGTAATAATCTACCATTGTCCCCTCTATCATATAGAACTGTATTAATCTACCATTGTCCCCTCTATTGTATAGAGCTGTATTACTCTACCAATGTCCCCTCTATTATATAGAGTTGTATTACTCTACCAATGTCCCTTCTATTATATAGAGCTGTATTACCCTACAATTGTCCCCTCTATTATATAGAGCTGTATTACTCTACCATTGTCCCCTCTATTATATAGAGCTGTATTACTCTACCATTGTCCCCTCCATTTTATAGAGCTGTATTACTCTACCAATGTCCCCTCTATTATAAAGAGTTGTATTACTCTATCAATGTCCCTTCTATTATATAGAGCTGTATTACCCTACAATTGTCCCCTCTATTATATAGAGCTGTATTACTCTACAACTGTCCCCTCTATTATATAGAGATGTATTACTCTACCATTGTCCCCTCCATTTTATAGAGCTGTATTACTCTGCCAGTGTCCCCTCTATTATATAGAGCTGTATTACTCTACCATTGTCCCCTCTATTATATAGAGCTGTATTACTCTACCATTGTCCCCTCCATTTTATAGAGCTGTATTACTCTACCAGTGTCCCCTCTATTATATAGAGCTGTATTACTCTACCATTGTCCCCTCTATTATATAGAGCTGTATTACTCTCCCATTGTCCCCTCCATTTTATAGAGCTGTATTACTCTACCAGTGTCCCCTCTATTATGTAGAGTTGTATTACTCTACCAATGTCCCTTCTATTATATAGAGCTGTATTACCCTACAATTGTCCCCTCTATTATATAGAGCTGTATTACTCTACCATTGTCCCCTCTATTATAAAGAGTTGTATTACTCTACCATTGTCCCCTCCATTTTATAGAGCTGTATTACTCTGCCAGTGTCCCCTCTATTATATAGAGCTGTATTACTCTACCATTGTCCCCTCTATTATATAGAGCTGTATTACTCTCCCATTGTCCCCTCCATTTTATAGAGCTGTATTACTCTACCAGTGTCCCCTCTATTATGTAGAGTTGTATTACTCTACCAATGTCCCTTCTATTATATAGAGCTGTATTACCCTACAATTGTCCCCTCTATTATATAGAGCTGTATTACTCTACCATTGTCCCCTCTATTATAAAGAGTTGTATTACTCTACCATTGTCCCCTCCATTTTATAGAGCTGTATTACTCTACCAGTGTCCCCTCTATTATATAGAGCTGTATTACTCTACCAATGTCCCCTCTATTATATAGAACTGTATTACTCTTCCATTGCCCCATCCATTTTATAGAGCTGTATTACTCTACCATTGTCCCCTCCATTTTATATAGCTGTATTACTCTACCAATGTTCCTTCTATCATATAGAGCTATATTACTCTACCAATGTCTCCTCTATTATATAGAACTGTATACTCTACCATTGTCCCCTCAATTATATAGAGCTGTATTACTCTACCATTGTCCCCTCCATTTTATAGAACTGTATTACTCTACCAATGTCCCTTCTATTATATAGAGTTGTATTATTCTACCATTGTCCCCTCTATTATATAGAGTTGTATTACTCTACCATTGTCCCCTCAATTATATAGAGTTATATTACTCTACCATTGTCCCCTCTATTATATAGAGTTGTATTATTCTACCAATGTCCTTTCTATTATATAGAGTTGTATAACTCTACCATTGTCCCCTCCATTATATAGAGTTGTATTGCTTTACCATTGACCCTTCTATTATATAGAGTTGTATTCCTCTACCATTGTCCCCTTTTATTATATAGAGCTGTATAACTCTACTAGTGTCCCCTCTATTATATTGAGTTGTATTATTCTACCATTGTCCACTCCGTTATATAGAGCTGTATTACTCTACCACTGTCCCCTCTATTTTATAGAGCTGTATTACTCTACCAGTGTCCCCTCTATTATATAGAGCTGTATTACTCTACCATTGTCCCCTCCATTTTATAGAGCTGTATTACTCTACCAATGTCCCTTCTATTATATAGAGTTGTATTATTCTACCATTGTCCCCTCTATTATATAGAGTTGTATTACTCTACCATTGTCCCCTCAATTATATAGAGTTATATTACTCTACCATTGTCCCCTCTATTATATAGAGTTGTATTATTCTACCAATGTCCTTTCTATTATATAGAGTTGTATTACTCTACCATTGTCCCCTCCATTATATAGAGTTGTATTGCTTTACCATTGACCCTTCTATTATATAGAGTTGTATTCCTCTACCATTGTCCCCTTTTATTATATAGAGCTGTATTACTCTACCAGTGTCCCCTCTATTATATTGAGTTGTATTATTCTACCATTGTCCACTCCGTTATAAAGAGCTGTATTACTCTACCACTGTCCCCTCTATTTTATAGAGCTGTATTACTCTACCATTGTCCCCTCTATTATATAGAGCTGTATTACTCTACCATTGTCCCCTTTATTATATAGAGCTGTATTACTCTACCATTGTCACATCTATTATATAGAGTTATATTACTCTACCATTGTCCCCTCTATCATATAGAGTTGTATCACTCTACCATTGTCCCCTCAAGTATATAGAGTTATATTACTCTACCATTGTCCCCTCAATTATATAAGAGTTGTATTACTCTACCATTGTCCTTTCTATTATATAGAGTTGTATTATTCTACCAATGTCCTTTCTATTATATAGAGTTGTATTACTCTTCCACTGTCCCCTCCATTATATAGAGTTATATTACTCTACCAGTTTCCCCTCTATTATATAGAGCTGTATTACTCTACCATTGTCCCCTTTATCATATAGAGCTGTATTACTATACCATTGTCCCCTCTATTATATAAAGCTGTATTACTCTACCAGTGTCCCCTCTATTATATAGAGCTGTATTACTCTACCAATGTTCCTTCTATTATATAGAGTTGTATTACTCTACCAATGTTCCTTCTATTATATAGAGTTGTATTACTCTACCACTGTCCCCTTTATCATATAGAGTTAGATTACTCTACCAGTGTCCCTTCTATTATATAGAGCTGTATTACTCTACCAATGTTCCTTCTATTATATAGAGTTGTATTACTCTACCATTGTCCACTCTATTATATAGAACTCTATTATTCTACCATTGTCCCCTTTATTATCTAGAGCTGTATTACTCTACCATTGTCCCCTTTATTATAGAAGAGTTTTATTTCTTTACCATTGTCCCTTCTATTATATAGAGCTGTATTATTCTACCAATGTCCTTTCTATTATATAGAGTTGTATTACTCTACCACTGTCCCCTTTATTATATAGAGTTAGATTACTCTACCAGTTTCCCCTCTATTATATAGAGCTGTATTACTCTACTAATGTCCCTTCTATTATACAGAGTTGTATTACTCTACCAGTGTCCCCTCTATTATATATAGCTGTATTACTCTATCATTGTCCCCTCTATTATATAGAGCTGTATTACTCTACCATTGTCCCCTCTATTATATAGAGCTGTATTACACTACCATTGTCCCCTCTATTATATAGAGCTGTATTACTCTACCATTGTCCCCTCTATTATATAGAGTTGTATTATTCTACCATTGTCCCCTCTATTATATAGAGTTGTATTACTCTACCATTGTCCCTTCTATTATATAGAGTTGTATCATTCTACCAATATCCTTTCTATTATATGGAGTTTTATTACTCCATCATTGTCCCCTCTATTATATAGAGCTGTTTTACTCTTACAATGTCCTTTCTATTAATTGGAGCTGCATTATTCTACCAATGTCCTTTCTATTATATAGAGTTGTATAATCATCCTGGAAAGACAGGATCATTAGTGGAATAAAATATACTTTATTAAACAAACCTAATACATAAGATCTACAGATTATGTAGATAAAGATGACCTGTACTTTAATATTATTTAAAAAACACAATGTTAAAAATAACTATACCAACAGTTTTCATGAATGAACCAAATTCATTTTTTATTTTAATTTTTTAGTTCCCTACTGTATGTGTTTACTTTAAATTCTCAACATATAAACTCATTTTCATACAATCTTTATTTACAAGTTCGTTAACTGTGTTTGAAATGAGCACCAAATGATACTGGTCATTTTACGCATGAAACATTGTTCAGAAGTTTTTCTTTAAGCGTTTATTTTCTTCCCTTAATCGTTCCACTTCTTGGAGAAGCTCCTGATTTACTGAATGCTGCTTGAAAACATTTGTCATCTCCATCTGCAAACAAACAGAATATTATATATCAAGCAAGTACATTATAATATTAATTCTTTAGAATGATAATTAAATTCACTTTGGAAGCTTAAAATTCTAATTCAACAGAGGTATGATTTGTTCCTTTTTTTCTTGATTTCTTTCTCCTATTTTGGTGTTAACATAAAAAGAGCCTGAGGGGAATTTTTGATAATTTTTTTTATAGTTATCAGGTTTCTTTAAAAACATTTTTCATCTTTAAATCAGTCAAGGGAAGCAGGATATTTAATTCATTTTGAAGTTTCCATAAAATGACTCATTTCAAAATATTGCTGAACACAGATTTGAAGGACTATATCATTCCTATGTAATAGTTTGGGCCATGGATATCAGCCTAGATAACTCAATCAGTAGAGTGCCTGACTAGTGATGCAGGAGTCTCGAGTTCAATTCCCAGTCCAGCCATACATTTCCTCCTTTCCTGTTACAGATTTGTTGTGTTGACCACTCCTGGACTTGCAGATGAAAGTCCTGCCAGCTAGGGGCAATAAGAACTTCATCAAAGTTCATCAAAAACGAGAGCTGATGAACAGAATTATGAATCTTTTCAAGTTGTATGCCAATTTATTTTTAATCCGACCAAAATGATAGGAGTATTTTAAAAAATTAACAAAGAAACAGACAGGTGGATGACAGATAGCTTATCATAAGCTCTTCTGGTCTTTATTCAGTAACGCTAAAAATCATGTATAGAAGTAGTCTAGCACAAGAAATTCTGTCTCTTGAAGTAGACTACTGTTGAACAAAACTTATACAAAGACTAGACTTTGAAATGTTTGACTGTTTATTTGATATTTAGTAGACTGTAAAATACCCCCCCCCCCCCCCAAAAAAAAAAAACACACATACCATTTGTATCTCGAATTGTCTAATCATTTCCACTTGTACTTGCAGAATGTCCTTGTGAATCTGATCTTTGAAATCTTCCAGCTCCTCACTTATAAGATTGCGTATGACTTGCGTTGGGAAGTTCTGACTCATTTGTGAGCCTGAGGCTTGGGAGGGAATTGCCACATCTACTGAAGATACACTCTGTGCTCCCTCAGGGGAAGTAGTCAGTTTAAATGGAGGAAGACCAACACCTCCCGAGCTGGCACTCGGAGATTCATCAAACTTGTTCCTTTCTACAGCATTACTGCTATTTCTAGTTCTGCTGAAGGAGTCACTATATGTTCCAGTCACAGGACTGGCACTAAAATCACTGGTTGTTTGACTGATAGAATTTGGGAGATTTCTGTTCTCACTCCTCCTGGTAAAAGCAGAGAGTCTCTGTGTTTCTGAAAACAAAAAATCAAGAATAAAACTTGAAAATGCCTATTAACTTTTATTTGTTGTTGCATAAATAGCAAAATCTACCTGAATCAATGTTTGAAACTAGTGGTGTATGAGATTCTGAAGTCTCTGGTAACCGGTTAACTACTGGTTGATTTGTTGAGGTGACAGGATGGGTCCTTATGTAGCTTTCTGGTGACTCAGTGTATGGGCCTGATACTGGGGATAGTCCCATACTGCCATTATGCTGCAAGATATTAACACAGAGTGAAGACACTGTATTGGCCAATCTTAAAGACATAAAGAATTGGAATTTGCTTGCATGATGTGAAAGTATCTTATCATGTTTAGTTTGGGCCAGTTTTACATCAGTAACATCCTATACCAATACTTAAAATATTGGTGGATCTATTATTAAACTGCACAGTAACCTTGGATAGTTAACTTTAAAGTATGATAAACATAACATCTAATCACATTATATTAATTATATCAAGATTATTAGATGCAATATTTTATAAGACAAGGGGATGATCAATATTTCCAAAATTAGCACACACATACCTTTGTATGAAAATAACATATTGCAAAAAATCCATAAACATTTTATTACACATCACTGACATTTGTCAGGAGCCAAAAATGATAACCTTAGCATCAGAATCATAAGACACTACAAAGTTAAGTGTTCATACACTTTCGTTGTTACTAATATCAGATCTGAGGGGGGTTAGGCTGCTGATCCCCACAATTCCAGCGGACTGCCTGCTCCCATTCTCCAAAGGAGACAATGCTCCATACGAATCAGTATGTTCTCTCATAGGAGAAAAAATCCCATCTGTAATACAAGAGATAAACAGTGATATACACATGTCAATATTGAAATTCAACTCTTTAATACAAATTACATTTTTCCCAAAATTCTCCAATATCTACTCTTTGGTTAGCTCCCCATAATTAAATTTACTTAAGGTCAATACAAATATGATCCCTGACAGAGACTACAGCTAGAAGAACCATATTTTGTGATATCTACAACTGTAGCTATCTGGACAGAACTTACCACTCTGATTTGGTGACCTGACATTCCTGTAGGAGTACAGATCCTTTCTCTCTGTTACGGTAGGACTAGATGTAGGCTGTTCAACCTCTGTATAAATAAACACATAATAACCCAGTTTCATGATAAAAAAAGAATGGTTATGTTCTAATACTAGCATTAAGTATCAAAAACAAACATTTAGAAGTTCTTAACAGGAAACATCCTTCCCAAGGTGAATCTTTGTGTAAATTTAATAAATACCCAGTATGCTAAAAATATCTCATAAATAAATTTAAAGTCTGTATAAACAATACTGAAATTAAAATAACCTGATAAGTAAATATGTAACTTGGTATAGTCTACCTATGGACCAAGTTCTTGGATATTGGTCCAAAACTATAGGAGAATTTTTTATGGAAATCTGTATATTTTGTATCAATGACAAATGTAACAAATACCATTCATCGAAATAAAAAAAACATGGGTCACAACGCTCAACTGAGTAACTATAGCCCTTCTGTTCTTTATCAGCAGATTTTTTTCCAAATATATTCTTTGTAAAATTAAGATAATATATGGTGGCCCGCCCTACCCCAAGGTGTCATAGTTTGCACAAACTTGAAATTGAAGATGCTTCCATGCATGAATAATCATGGCTTTGCTGTTCTGAAGAAGAAGATTTTAAAAGATTTTTCCTAAATATTATTATGTAAACTTTGATTGGCCAATGTGGCCCCATCCTTCCCTGGGGGTCATGATTTGAACAAATTAGAATCTACACTACCTGAAGATGCTTCAGTATAAATATAAATAATGATGTGCTGTTCATGACAAGAAGAATTTTAAAGATTTTCCCTATGTATTCCTATGTAAAATTTTGATTGCCCATAGTGGCCCCACCCTACCCCCCGGGGTCATAATTTGAACAAACTTGAATCTATACTATCCAAGAAAGCTTCACATAAGTTTCATCTTTTCTGGCCCAGTGGTTCTAGGGAAAAAGTTTTTTAAATTACCCCACCCAATTTTCACTATCTCTTAATTATCTCTCCTTGGAAGAAAGTGTGGCCCTTCATTTGCACAAACTTGAATCCCCTTTAACCAAGGATACTTTGTGCCAAGTTTGGTTGAAATTGGCCCGGTGGTTCTTGAGAAGAAGATGAAAATGTGAAAACTTTACATTGACAATGGATAAATTTTGATCAGAAAAGCTCACTTGAGCCTTTAGCTCAGGTGAGCTAAAAACCGATAAAAAGAATTATGTATTTCAATGGAGTCTCCTTGTTTATCAAGTTTTATTGACAAAGGACTTAACAAAGCAGTAGTATTTTTGAAAGATTTTCACAAAAATTTATATTTTCAGTAAAACCATATTTAATCTAGATCATTTACCAATAAACAGAATTGTGTATCTTAATATTAAAACCTTTTGAGATTTATTTTACTGATAAACAGAGAGATAAACAGACAGTAAGATGACTTACAATTTCATAAGCTCTCCTGGTCTTAACAGTCACAACAGTTTGTCATGAAAATCATTATAGTATACACACATGTACATGCTTCAAAGCCTCACTGCATACTCTGAATTAGTTTATGTAGCTTTACACAGCATTCAAATTTCAAACAGATTCAACTGTCAATCGTGATTTTCATTCCACATCTCTTATAAGAAAATATAGCAATAGTAACTAATAAAGGATAAATCATCATAGAATTTGACTTTAACAAGAGAAAACAAAACCAGAAGTCTCCGATGAGACTGCATGTAGCTCTATCAGTTTGTATTAGAAAAGTTTCACTTGGACTTGAATTTTTTTTTTGGGGGGAGGGGGGGGGTTAAAAAAAGATCTACATCAACAGAATTATATATCTTGATGTTTTTTAAACTTGTAAATAAAACATTTATCAAAATCAATATAAAACTGTAGGAGGAGAATCAATTTGAAAGATTTTCAAAGTTTATTCTAATAAAGTAGCCATGTCAATACCATTCATCACAATCCTAAAATGATGAGCATATATTAAAATTGGACCAAATCTGTAGGAGGAGTAAATTCCTCACATTATTCTAAATAACCATGGCCACACTTCCACACTGTTCCTTTAAATCAAAAACTGATCTACAGAATTAAGTATATTGGTTAGTCTACTTGTATGCCATTTTTTATTGAAATTAGACCAAAAATTTTGGGAGAAGTGCATGATGTTTCAAAAATTGTTTAAGACAATCAGAGAGACAGAAGGATGTCAGACACTTTACCACAGCATTAAGCTTTTCTAACAAGTAGAGCTAAAAATCAAGTATCGGACATATAATCAAACACTACATCTACATTTATAGCATCATTTCTAACTGTTCCTATATATAGCTTTCTTACCAACATATCAAATTGCCTAAATCAAAAAGCACAGTGTTAAGAATACTTGAGCAATGCTGTGTGTGTGTGTTTCTGAAGTATAATTTAAAAGATTAACAATCTGTTATGGGCATGGTCCTTAACAGTCACCTGAGTAACAACAGCATCTGTTGTACAATGTACTTTCAATACATTATAAGTGCAGAATTTGAATCATTAAATCAAGTTATCATTCACGTTCAAAATTATAAAAAAAAAATCATTAAAAAACTACCAATATGAAATTAAAAGGAAACAAGATGTGTTTGTGAAACACTGATGCCCCCGTATGGTACCTTATGGTGAAGGTTAAACTCTCTCAAATGCAAATCAAATATGTTGGTACCCAAAGTAAGGTCTCGTCTCAAGGAATATACTTGTGAAATATGAAAGCCCTAGCAGCAACCATTGAATATATATGGAAGAGGTTAAAGGTTTTCAAAAGTAAGTCAAACATCAAGGTCAAGGTCAAATGGTCAAAATTAGTGGTGCCCAAGGAAAAGGCCTTCTCACAAAAAAATACACGTGAAGTATGATTCTATGAAAGCCCTAGCACCAACTGGCCAAGATTAAAGTTTCTCAAAAGTAGGTCAAACTCCAAAGTCAAGGTCAATGGGCTATAATTGTTGGTATCCAAAGGAAGGTATTGTCACAAGAAATACACATGTGAAGTATGAAAGCCCTAGTACCAATTGTTCAAAAGTTATGGCCAAGGTTAAAGTTGGTTTAAGTTTTGAAAATCTGGGTCAAACTCCAAGGTCAAAAGGTCAAATATGATGGTACCCAAAGAAAGGTCTTGTCACAAGGAATTCACATGTGAAATAAGAAAGTCATAGCTCTTACCAATCAAAAGCTATGGGCAATGTTAAAGTTTTTGTGGACAAACAGACAAACAGACAGACAGACAGGGCAAAAACTATATACCCCCGAATCTTCGATTACGGGGGCATAAAAAAGATATGTGATTCCTTAAAAAACCTGCAAAAGAAAAATATGCATTTGAGCACCTTTGTAAGCTTATCACTTATAGAACCATTTAAAGTCATAGTGAATGCTGCCATGTACTAGATCACCTACTTTAAGACATCTAGCTCTCTCATAGCATATCTTAAAGGATTTTATCACACATATGAATTTCTTAAAATTAAATGCAGTAATATTGTTGTTACATATAAAAATTTTCTATTGTTTAATTAGCTTTAAAATTTGGCAAAATAGGGGATAAAACACATGTTATTTAGGGTCCTTGCAGTAAAAATCTCCACTATTTAGATAGTGGGTCACGTGGTACTGTTATATCATACAAGTCAATTCTGATTCAGAAATATCATGGTTGTAAAAAAAAAAAGGAAAAGACTTTTGAAGTTAAATCAATCAACTCTACATAGATAGGAAAAAAACCTATAGCACTGACATTATTTCTTTTGGTAATTTTTTATGTATGAACCTCCAGAAGAAAGAAATACCAGGTAACTGAGAAAATTTGTCCGTAAGTAGCGAGTTCCAGTACTGTATATAGTGTACTAGAATTTTAGTTCTTAATTGGAGATCAAATTGGAAAAAAAAATGAATTCTTCATTAAGTAAATTACCAATTCATATCAAGGATGCTTGTATATTGCTTATCAGTTTTTTGTCCTAGATTTTTTTTGGTGAAATGTGACCCAGATTTAGCGAGTCAGCAGCTAGCTTTGAACCAGGTTTAGCGAGACATCAGCTTGATGCAGGTTTATGGAGTTGCCATTAGCTATGACCTTGGCTTTTTGAGTGGTCAGCTTGATGTGAACCAGAGTGAATCCTGAGATGGCAGCATTCAGGGATATTTCAATGACTTTAATCTGTTCTAAAGCATCTGAAGCTCCAGTATAACAGTGAGATGTCCGGTTAACATGACACACAGTTAATCAATGTTAAGAATTAGTACAATCACTCTAACCTACCGTCACCAGAACTATCAAATTCAAGATACTCTAAAAATGTGGACATGGGCCAGGATTCTACTTCTGTAATAAGAGACACTTGTGTTACTGGGTCTCTGGTTAGGAGGGGAAATATTAACCATAATATTAAAAAGCCATACATCAGTAAACAAAAGGCCCTAGGATCACAACACTCACCTGGCACTTTACATTCACTATTAACAGGTCTATACCACATAATTTATGAATAATAAATTATACACCTATTCTCATCTAAAAGGTAAATTTAACTTTTACTTCATAAAAATCCCTTTGACAAATTGTGGGTCCCTATTACAGTCACGGGAGATCACATTTGAAAAAATCTACATTTAGTAAATTAGGAATTCATATCAAGGATGTTTTTATATTGATTTGATATTTTGCTGATCTTGAGATTAAGACTTCTCAGACAAAGTATTTCTCCCTGAATTCGCTCATTTAAATTTGGACCTATTTTTCAGGTACCTCGATTTGTAACTAACCCCAGTTGTCATGATATGATGAAAAGTTTGAATAACAATGTTGTATTTAAATGATTCAAGTTTTATTTTAGGGTTAATTTTATATTAGATTGTGGTTTTGAATTTTTTTTGTCCTGATCATTTCCCATTGAAAAAAGTAAAGTCAGACTGTTTATCGTAAATGAATTTTGACTCCCGCTTTCCAGTTATATGTAAGTGTATGCTTAATACTACCAAGTCTGGATACAGCTGGCTTATGAGTTAAACACAGACAGCAGACTTTAATCAGAAATTCCATCATCATCTATTGCTTATATTCATGTACTATCATTCCTAAAAACCCTCAGGTTATATAAGGCATAATTTATTCATGATTTCTCAGGAAGAGAAATTAACCAATCAAAGCACAATCCTCATAAAGATGTTTTATTTTAAATCAACATTATTTACTACTGCAAGGTTAATGTATCTTAATACTGGGACTCCAAGTAGGAGTAGGAATTTAGACATTTTAGTACTTATAACTTAAATATGTGAAAACTATGTATATTCCTCCACCAAACAGGACAATAATCCACTGCATTAGAAATTGGTTTATTTATAAGGCTACAAAGGGTTACACTCATTTGAACCCATGGGTCAAGAAATTTGATCTTTTCAAACTTAATATAGTATATACATAAGGTTTTGGGTGTCAAAAGCAGATATTTTTCAACAACTCTGTACTGTCACTTTATATTTCCTATCCCTGGAGGAATTAATACATCTTTTATTTTTTAATTTGATATTTCCATTGTTTGGCTAATTACCTTTCATTCTTCAGTTCAGCCATTGGTTTCAAATGAGAGTGACCTATTAAGCCAAAATTAATTGCTATGTTCTTGCAATCAAGATAAAAGCAGTACAGATGGACCCTGAACAGTCTGACTGGACTCTATATCCTAACAGTCTGACTGGACTCTATATCTTAACAATCTGACTGGACTCTATATCTTAACAGTCTGACTGGACTCTATATCTTAACAGTCTGACTGAACTCTATATCTTAACAGTCTGACTGGACTCTCTATCTTAACAGACTGATTGAACTCTATATCTTGTCTTAACAGTCTGACTGGACTCTATATCTTAACAGTCTGACTGAAATCTAATTCCTAACAGTCTGACTGGACTCTATATCCCAACAGTCTGACTGAACTCTATATCTTGTCTTAACAGTCTGACTGGACTCTAAATCTTAACAGTATGACTGGACTCTATATTTAAACAGTCTGACTGGACTCTATATCCTAACAGTCTGACTGGACTCTATGTCCTAACAGTCTGACTGGACTCTATATCCTAACACTCTGACTGGACTCTATATCCTAACACTCTGACTGGACTCTCTATCTTGTCTTAACAGTCTGACTGAACTCTATATCTTAACCATCTGACTGGATTCTTTGTCTTGTTTGATCAATACGGTACAGGTGGACAATTGACAGTCTGACTGGACTCTATATCTTAACAGTGTGACTGGATTCTACATCTTGTCTTAACAATCTGATTCGATTCTACATCTTGTCTTAACAGTGTGACTGGTTTCTACATCTTGTCTTAACAGTCTGACTGGACTTTATATCTTGTCTTAACAGTCTGACTGGATTCTACATCTTGTCTTAACAATCTGACTAGACTCTTTATCTTGTCTTAACAGTCTGACTGGATTCTACATCTTGTCTTAACAGCCTCACTGGATTCTACATCTTGTCTTAACAGCCTCACTGGATTCTACATCTTGTCTTAACAGTCTGACTGGACTCTTTATCTTGTCTTAACAGTGACTGGATTCTACATCTTGTCTTAACAGTGTGACTGGATTCTATATTTTGGCTTAACAATCTGACTGGATTCTACATTTTTTCTTAACAATCTGACTGGGTTCTACATTTTGTCTTAACAATCTGACTGGATTCTACATCTGGTCTTAATGGTCTGACTGGACTCTATATCTTAACAGTGTGACTGGATTCTACATCTTGTCTTAACAGTCTGACTGGACTCCTTATCTTGTCTTAACTGTGTGACTGGATTCTACATCTTGTCTTAACAGTCTGACTGGACTCTTTATCTTGTCTTAACAGTGTGACTGGATTCTTTATCTTGTCTTAACAGTCTGACTGGACTCTTTATCTTGTCTTAACAGTGTGACTGGATTCTTTATCTTGTCTTAACAGTGTGACTGGACTCTTTATCTTGTCTTAACAGTCTGACTGGACTCTTAATCTTGTCTTAACAGTGTGACTGGATTCTTTATCTTGTCTTAACAGTCTGATTGGACTCTTTATCTTGTCTTAACAGTGTGACTGGATTCTTTATCTTGTCTTAACAGTCTGACTGCACTCTTTATCTTGTCTTAACAGTGTGACTGGATTCTTTATCTTGTCTTAACAGTCTGACTGCACTCTTTATCTTGTCTTAACAGTGTGACTGGATTCTTTATCTTGTCTTAACAGTCTGACTGGACTCTTTATCTTGTCTTAACAGTGTGACTGGATTATACATCTTGTCTTAACAGTCTGACTGGATTCTACATCTTGTCTTAACAATCTGACTGCACTCTTTATCTTGTCTTAACAGTCTGACTGGACTCTTTATCTTGTCTTAACAGTGTGACTGGATTCTACATCTTGTCTTAACAGTGTGACTGGATTCTACATTTTGTCTTAACAGTGTGACTGGATTCTACATCTTGTCTTAACAGTCTGACTGGACTCTTTATCTTGTCTTAACTGTGTGACTGGATTCTACATCTTGTCTTAACAATCTGACTGCACTCTTTATCTTGTCTTAACAGTGTGAGTGGATTTTAAATCTTGTCTTAACAGTGTGACTGGATTCTACATCTTGTCTTAACAGTCTGACTGGACTCTTTATATTGTCATAACAGTGTAACTGGATTCTACATCTTGTCTTAACAGCCTGAGGGGTTCTACATCTTGTCTTAATAATCTGAGTGGACTCTATATATCTTGTTTGATCAATACAGTACAGGTGGACACTTAACAGTCTGATTGGACTCTATATCATGCATTAGCAGTCTGACTGGACTCTATATCTTAACAGTCTGACTGGACTCTATATCTTGTATTAGCAGTTTGACTGGACTCTATATCATGTCTTAACAGTCTGACTGGACTCTATATCTTAGCAGTCTGCCTGGACTCTATATGTAAACAGTCTGACTGGACTCTATATCATAAGAGTATGACTGGACTCTGCATCTTAACAATCTGTCTGGATTCTGTATCTAAACAGTCTGACTGGACTCTATATCTTAATAGTCTGACTGGACTCTATATCTTAACAGTATGACTAGACTTTGTATCTTAACAGTCTGACTGGATTCTATATCTTAATTGTCTGACTGGACTCTATATGTTAACAATCTGACTGAACTCTTTATCTTGCACAGACTCACCTTTCAGTATGTTTTCTTTCACTGGATCGCTGGGTGCAGATGGAAGCTGTCGTCTGCCTGGTGAGAGCCCATCAACTTCACTGTGCATCAGTTTGGCTTTCATTGCATAGGATTCTTGCTTGCTTAAGCTTTGAAATTCATTCTAGTAAGGAAAGATTGATCAAAATTCAAGAGAAAATTTTACTTGTCAAAACAAGCTCTACACAACCTAAATGATATCATATACTAAATATATGATATTCTATTGGGTTCCTGAATCAGGCTTATTTTAGCTTTATCTCTTGCTAGCCAGAATTAGAACTTTCACTATTTATAAAGTCTTATCACTTTCATGTTTAGCAATTTTAAGATTCTACAAAATCATAAAGCTAAATTTGTGTCGCATATTCCCCATTCACAATTCATAGCTAAATTGAACAACTACCAAGATAACTTGCTGTTTGGGATTTTGTATAATTCCATGTTTTGCATAATTCCCTCAATTAAATCATTAAAAGAACATGTTTCTTTAAAACATACATTAGATTTGTGCTCAAACTTCAGTCTCTGGACAGAGGACCTGTGGGCATTAAACACACTGAAGGGAGTATCAGCCTTCCTCAGATCGTAGACAAACACCTTCCCTCGGGTGGAACCAACTGCCACGGTGACACCGTCAGATTTCACGTCAATAGATGTCAAAGGAGAGTCCACAGTCATACACTTCACCTGTCTATAACAAACATTCTAAACTCATTTCCTGAAATCACAAATTGTATCACACCATTCACAATCTTATTATAACAGCTTTCACGACTGTAATTTCACTTAAATATAGAACTATCAATATCCTACTTTTTGCTTTGAATATCAAAGCAAATAATTCTCTTGTCCAGTCCTACGGAGAGCAGCAAAATGTCATTCAGGGGAGAGAACTTGAGTCCTGTCGCTGAAGCAATGTGAGCAGTACTATAGGCATGGAGAAGTCGCCGCGTATTGATGTCCCACAGATTAACAGCTCCATCCTCCGACACTGATCCTAACAAAGACTTCTTCACTGCATTAAATTGCAGTTGTCTTATAGCCTAAAATAAATAAGCAATCAGAGACTCTTTCTGAACAATTCCAAATTTCAAAGCATACAGAGCCATGACACTCAGCAATTTGGTTGTTGGGATATAAAAGAATTATGATAGGATATCAAATTTATTTCGATAACTTTATATCAAATTAATTCTGAAAACAAAAGGCTGGCCATTAGGAACTATTTTAATTTGAAAGATGCCATCAAATGCACTTAAACACCCAATATTATGTTAACGCCCCCAAAATCTGCCTAATTCAATCATTATAAAAACAATAGTTCCTGATTTGATTGACGGACCAGCTTCGTGGGCTACCTGATAATCTGAGTTTGCATGTCTTGAAAACAATTACCTGGTCACACGTCAAACACTTTCATGTACCGTGTGAATGATCGCTTTGTATACACTCTGATTAAAAAAAATCATTGCTGTTATATTGTTTGATAATTTTATTTTTAAAAAATAATTGAGAGTAGATACAATATGTAATTAAACAATGACTTCGTGATTTTTTTTTTTCAATCTCCACTGCTGTTTTGTACTTGTCAGCGATATGACGTCCAAGATAACTGTAGAACTTTTTGAAGAAAAATTAGCGGCTATTCAAGCCCTCTCTCCCTTCTCAATAACTGAGATCCAGAGAGAGAAGAAGTTTCTGTAGCAGCACAGACCGATAATTCTTCCGAGCCCCTTATTCAACCTGTGCCTTGATTTTAAGAATGTATGTAATGCCCTTGTCGACCTTGCACTTGGATACACAGAAACTCAATTCGCCGTAATTGAAACAATCAACCCTCTCCCCCATCATTGAAAATTATAACAAAATGCAATATATTAAATAAGAGAAGATATTTATACTAATATAAGTAAAGTATCTTGTATCTAACACCATGAATTACGAAAGATTCCTTCTATATCCAAATCTGTAAACAGGGCATAAGAACACGTACCCTCAGAAATGGCGAATATTTGGACACCATTGTTCGCCAGAAAAGTAAATAATATTCAGATCGCGGTAAATATCTACACAATAAGTGGAATCTTTTTATTTCAATATTCTCACTTAATATTTTATAATAATTTCTTTTATTGGCGATTAAAATATTGATGATTGCTTTGTAGTTTTCACTCGTTTATTTTAATTTTATGATTTTAAAAAAAGAGATGTCTTTTTAATTTTTTTTCTTCAAAAGATATCGACGAAAACTCTAAGTCTACAAATTTTATATTTCAGTACATAATTTATTTTAAATATTTTCACTCAAAATTATGCACAAAACGCGTAATGTTGACCCTGATTACCAAAAGCCAGACTTCCTGTGTAATGCAGCGTGTATAGGGATTTTTGACATTTTGACTATTGGGGCTCACCAGGTAAATAACACCAATACTACCAAGACCACTCCCCCTCCTCAGGCAACCGTACGGTAAAAAAATTGGGTCTTTAAGAGGTCAGATCTTTCATTCCTCTACCCATTTCCCAAGAGATATAGATAAAACCTACTTGATTAGAGAAGTCTCTAACAGACATGATTAAGACAGCCTTCTTATATTAATTAGACTCGTTAATCTTTCACTTGACAGATGCAGTTTCACTTGTATCAAAATGCCCTATGCTGGCTATGCATGTCCAACTGAACTACTTAAAATTCCATGGCTTAAATCATTACTCTAAAGGGATGAATAGAATTACTCTCTCTGATGAACTAATTAAGTCTTAGCATTTTTGTAGTACAATTTTCTTTTTTTGCATATTTCTATTGTTAGAAAGAAAAGAATTTTTGAATTTGTTGTGTATTAGCATATCATGAAAAAAAATGTACTATTCTTTTTACATAAAATTTTTGAACAAGGTTACTGCTTTATCTGACATTGTAGGGATCACCTTTCTTTTTTTCTTTTTTTTTTTTAAAAATCACCTTAATTAAAGGTCACATGACCTTTTGTAGAGTGTGACATACCCTCTACGTAAGACACATTAACTGACCAAGTCTGATGATGCTAGGACAAATAACTTTCATGTAATGAGTTGGACAGGGTTTTGCATTACCGTATAGTGGGTTATTTTAGTGGGGTGCTAATTTTGGCATTTTGATAGTAGCCCGCTAAAATTATTATCGCTAAAATATTCAGTAATCTTCTTAGTGTTCATCTGCAAAGAGTTGAAACCCTGTGTCTGCTAAAATAAATTACGCCAAAATTATTGGCATACCTTTGAGCAGGCAAAACGCCAAATTTTACACCTGCCAAGAAAACCGGCTATACAGTATTAGGCCGTATCATCTTAATTGAAGTTCACAGTAACTTAACTTTAAAATGCTACACTTTCTATCAAAGATGCATCAGCTGACAAATTTTGATGATTCTAGGCTTCATGGTATTTAAGTTATGAGCCAGACACGGAAAAAAGAACAGGCAGACAGACAGATGGACATGATCACCACAATACCATCTTAAAAGATGGGTGTATAAAAAATAAATCACTACAAAAATTGCCTGCATCATGATAGTCTCAACTACAGCATAATATATAAGGCAAATGACTTGACTTGCAAACCTGTACTTTGGGAGCAGTCATTGGTCTACATCCTTGTCCAGTGACAACATTGTACACGATTATCTCCCCTGATTCTGATCCTGAAGCTATGTGAGAAGCATTGGCATTAAACAACACACAGCTTACTGGGCCTTTGTGGTCCTAAGGTAAAAAAAAAATACTGTCAACATCATCAAGAATGAGAGTATAAATAAAATGCATTGGAAATAAAAATTCACAAATATTTGTGTGACTTAAATGCTCCCAGCAAGAAAAGTCTACATAGATCAAAGGGTGAGTGGATCCTTTATCATGTCAAAGAACTGAATAACCTAACATTTAGTAGGGTGACTTCGCCATGCATCAGAAACATACCTTGGATCGGTCAACTTTAACAAATTAGATCAACAACGAAAATCAACAGTATTAGAATTGTCTTTACAAGAGTGTAATTTATATTGTAGTCCATACAGCAGATCTAATTGATCTAATCAAAGGGAATCCAAACTGGAAGTGACGTAATAAAACATAGCTTTGAAATGACAATTTAAAACAAAATATGGCTTTTGAAATTTTAAGTGGTCAAGGGCATACTTTGTCATTCTTTAAGAAATGCTTCACATTTATACATCACCTATTTCAATCTATTTTCAGCAAAGCAAAACATCATTATAGTTCTATTTTTAAAAAAAGGCAAATCTCAATAGTGACCTTTTTTCACCATGAATCAGTGACATACTGATAAAATGTAATTTCTGATGACTGGACTTACTGATGACAAATACTTACTGATAATGTACTTACTGATGACCAGTACTTATTGATGATCTATACTTGTGACATGACTTACTGATGATCTATACTTGTGACATGACTTACTGATGACATGTACTTATTGATGACACATCCTTACTGGTGACCAGTACTTACTGTTGTCCTATACTTCCTGATGACATGTACTTATTGATGATCTATACTTGTGACATGTACTTATTGATGATCTATACTTGTGACATGACTTACTGATGATAAATACTTGTGACATGACTTACTGATGACATGTACTTATTGATGACACATCTTTACTAGTGACCAGTACTTACTGTTGTCCTATACTTCCTGATGACATGTACTTATTGATGATCTATACTTGTGACATGTACTTATTGATGATCTATACTTGTGACATGTACTTATTGATGATCTATACTTGTGACATGACTTACTGATGATCTATACTTGTGACATGACTTACTGATGACATGTACTTATTCATGACACATCATTACTGGTGACCAGTACTTACTGTTGTCCTTTACTTACTGATGACCAGTACTTACTGATGACCAGTACTTACTGATGACATGTACTTATTGTTAATCTATACTTACTGTTGTCCTATACTTACTGGTGACATGTACTTATTGATGACACATCATTACTGGTGACCAGTACTTACTGTTGTCCTATACTTGTGAGATGACTTACTGATGACCTATACATGTGACATGTACTTACTTGTTACATGTACTGAAACTGTACTACTGATGCCACATATTTACTTATAACATGTACTTACTGATGTACAATCTGTATAATAATGAAATGTTTACCTTGTAAGATTTTTTGATAGTCCTGGATTTTAGGTCCCAAGCATTAATGACACTGTCAGACCCTCCTATAACAAGATATCTTGATGTGGAAGTCAGGTCCAGACATAATCTTCCAGGCTGAAAACAAGAGGCCCCTAGATTATAATGCTCATCATAAGAGGAACCTAACCCTTCAGATATTGTCATTTTCATAAACTGTAAGCTTTGTACTTACCGAATTGATTCAATAATCAACTGTAAATTTTTATCAATTCTTAAACACTATTTGAAGGGGTCAAGATTAAACAAATTCTTAAAAGGGGTATGCACACACTTGCATTTCTGTATTGTTTTTATTTTTATTTGAAAATTAGTTTCAATTTAATGACTTGAACTTACATTCAAATTCCTAATACTCAATGACTTCTGCATTCTTCATAACCTTGTACCAAACTACACAACATTTTTTAAACATTGGCACAAACTCTGTAATCGTTCTACCTGGTGTGTTCAATTTGCTGGCATTGCTCACATCACTGACCACAAACTGACAACACTGCTGTGTTGGTTTACATTTCTTTTTTGACTTTTAATTATACATGTAGCTTTAATATCTTTTATTAATACACCTCAAATTTCACATTTTCCTTGAATATTAAGGATAAATTTTGGTTCATGAAAGTGGAAGGATGTATGACAATCAATCATCCCCAGAATATGTAGTTTTTATAATTTTCAGATAAAAGTTAAAAATGTATTGGTCTGAAATGCTCTTGCAATGTGTAAGTCATGAAATTCTACGAGTAAATTTTGAAGAATATAAACTGATGAATCAAATCTGTGTCCAATGCCCCCTTAAGACTGCTTAGATATTTTAAAAACTGACATACTGAAGTTGTTAAAATTAAAAATGTACCGGTATCTGAACATATTTTTATTGAATATATGACTTTGAAATTTTGCACAACAGACATTTCAAACAGATGCTGCAAAAAATTCAATAAGAAAAGTTTAACTTAATTTAGCAATTGGCTAATATATCAAAAAAAACTTTAGAAATGCATACAGAATACTGCAAGTATATGAATGTTCAATATTCATAGAAATGAATTTGCTTGCGATGGATTGCTATAACTATAATAACTTTATAAATTTATTTTTTTTTAAAATGAAGAATAAACTCACCAAGCAATCAAGTGTTGTAATCGGAAAGGCTGATGTCTTGCATGAATAAATTGCTATTTTATCACTGTTCACAGCTACACTAGCTAGAAATGTATCTGAAGACAGGTCAGGAAAAACTCATTCTCAAATATGACTGAATTAAGTACATGGATCTTAATTTGACTTTTTGATGAAATAATAGTGGATTCTCCAAAGTAATAATAGGAATAAGCTAAAAATAGTGTAAGATGGTGGCTCAATCAGTAAAAATTACAGCTCATGCAAGATGCTTGTTTGTTCAATATTCACAGAAATGAATGTGCTTGCGATGGATTGCTATAACTATAATAGCTTTATAAATTATCAATTAATTTTTTTCTTTAAATAAAAAATAAACTCACCAAGCAATCAAGTGTTGTAATAGGAAAGGCTGATGTCCAGCCTATTCCAAGTTATGACATTAAAGTAAAAAGTGACAGTTAGGTCTGCACAATAATATCGATATTCCAGTATATTGCGATTCATGGAAAAAAAATATCATATTGCGATATGTTTTTTCAGTACCAATATACTGGCAAAATGCTTGGGCTTGGGATTTCTAAAGTAAAATATGAAATTTAAGATGTCAGAAATGTGCCAAATAGTAAGGTTGCTGTAGTATAGCTGCATTTTGTTGAAAAACTGTGGTGAAATCAACAAAAACTTTTTGTTACAACATATTTATAACAGTTATATACACTCTAAATTTGATCTTGAATCAGTGACCCCTAGAAATGATCAAGTCCAACATGGCAAGTCTCACCACTTTGTTTTATATTAGTTTATATATGAATATAAATATATGTAATTTTCATTGTATATGTTGAACAAAATTAAATAATAGTGAACCCTGCTAGCTCTGAGGAAAACACGCATGAAAAGAGGAAATTCCAGTTGAAATCTACACACTGAGGATATTTTTACAAGTTTGTGTGAAAAGAATTCTAGAACTTCCTATCCTCTTTGTATGCACAGCAACATACTGGCTTCAGCATAGCAACAGCTCAAAGAGATTTACAGAAAGAGTTTCAAGGAATGTCTTTGCCAAAAAGAAACATATGCATCCTCAATAAAGATGACTTTGTATAAGATGTCATTTTTTGTCACTAAAATGTCTTGGCTTTTTTCCAATTTTATCAGAATTGTCTGCAAATTTCAGTTTCTTGATCCCAAGGTATGGGATGTCTTGTTTGAAACAATTTTCACAATTGGCCTTTTCACAGTAACTGCGGTACTGCTATTTTGCAGGGCAAATTAATAACATTTGGCAGAGTTTTTGATGGAAGATAATTAAAATAAAGTTTATTAATCAATTGCATTTGCATCATATTTCACCAAAATATATCAATTTGATCTGCAAATGAGCAGTACTGCAGTTATCATTAAACAGTTATCATGAAAAGAAGTTTTATTTGTCACAAATCGTGTGGAGAAAAAAAAATTACCAGTTGCAGGAAACATGGTAGAGACAGACTATTGTTTACTTAAAAATTGTGATGTCATCTGCAGTATGCAATAGGAAATGGTGGATCCATCATTTTAGATATGTAGAATTCAATAATTATTATTCAAAGGAAACTGCGCTCAATCTAACAGTTTCACCACCTGACACATTAGCCTTTATAGCAAGCGCAGCGAGCTAAATAGACTAATGTGTAAGAACAGAGAATATTCGAATCTGTATATTCGTCAAGCAAGTTTTTCTGTGAAACCTTTCCAGAATTCCTTTGCTACCAGGATTCCATGCGATAATGGTGAATAAAGTCCCACAGTTATCATGAATTAAGATTTAGTTCTTGAAGAGAGCTTAAATGAAACAAAAAATAATTGCATCTTTTCTACAATGCCTTTCATTACAAAATTACAAAGGGCCTATTTAAACTCAGTTACAGAAATGCAGCTTACATCGATGTCATGTGATGTCACAGTCTAGACCTTTTAGTTTGAAGAGGCGGATCAGAGTTTAAGGTGTAAGCTATGTAGGTTTCTTATGGTATACAAATGCGCTAGCTGCAATAATGTAGCCCTCTCCCGATTTTTTTTTTTTTTTTTTTTTTTTTTTTTTTTTTGGGAGAGGGCTACAACTCCTTAGGATCTCCGTAATGGTGCAAGTGCGGGAGTGATTCACTACCGCACAGATTTCGGCTCAAATTATCAGTAAGTGGGTATTTTATTAACATTTCTTACCTGAACTCATAAAATGTAGTCATGCAAGACATGAATTGATCCAAAAATATACAGAACAATCCGTATATTGGTTATTTTTCGTGTATGTCAACATCACAACTTGAATTTATCCGCCATGTTTACTGACCTTGATCGATTTTATTTTGGGACAACCAATGAGAAATCGGGATCTAGGGGAGCGGATCGTTTAGGATTTCCCTTATTTTAAGCATAAATATCACTGTTTATGAAAAAAAATCACATGGAATGCTTTTATTTATCAATGTTTTAGTGATATCATACCACACAAACATTTATCAACACCGACATTTACTTTATCAAGTGATTCTAAAATTCAAGCGCAAGTCTCTGTACATCACGCGAGAACTGTCATGGCTGCTGAAGAGAACGACTGGTAAACACGCAGATTTATTTTACTTGGTTTTCGCTCATAAAGGGCTATGATGTTGATAGTGAATAAAAATTCCGTCTTAATGGAAGTAAGTTGAATGCAAAAACAATTTATTTTGCCTGCAGTCGCCCGTATCTAAAAAATAAATTTGCACCATTACAGAGATGCAGTGGAATTGTAGCCCTCTCCAGAAAATAGCAGATTAAAAAAATCGGAGAGGGCTACATTATTGCAGCTATTACTCAAACAATGGAAATACACCTTTTCTTTAAAAGTGTTCAAATGCAGCAATGTTAAAGCTATCTCTTCTTTGGACTGTTTCTAAATAATCCCTAGTATAAATATTAGTAGACATTTACTTGCGACTTTTTGTCTTTTTAAAATAAAAAGCAAAATTGTGAAAAGTTGCCTTGAAATAGCTAAATAAAGCTACCTGAAGTAGCTAAATAAAGCTACAGTAGGTAATTCTAGCTACATAGCTAAATGTACTGATTGTACTGGACCTGTCCAAGTTACAACAGAAATGTATGTGTACAGTATTGTGCATTTGGCTGGGTAAAATATTCTTATTTTATCGAATCGGTTAAATAATTTGTTTTGCTTGCATGTTTGTATCAAGGATACTATCGTGACTCCAGCAAATGTCTGCAATGTTTTGGTCATGGGGATTGAACTGTTTTAAAAGCGAAAAGTTTACTTCATCCCATAACTTTATATCGTCACCCGCTGATGCTAACTGTCCCAAACTCATTTTGAAGTATGATATTCTACTTTTCAGACATTTCCACAACAATCATATTGCTCCTTGTATTCAACAATCCACATTATCCCGCCTTTCCTCTTCCATCTCATTTCTTGTTTACAACTTGAGATTTGATATTTTGCGATTTTCATAGACAAAACGAACTTCACTTAACTTTAGATCCCGATTCATTAAGACGCATACTGGAATATAGTTAGAAATTAATCAAATGAATTTTTCTTTTATGATTATGTTTTTGAATCCCGATTCATTTATTGTTTTTTAGTTGTAAATTGATTATAAAATGATGACATGGTTTGGCACAATTCAGAAACATGCACATTTAATACAGAAGACTTTGCATCACAATCTTGAATATAATTATTGCTAGCGCTCTCGAGCGCTAGCAACTACGTTAGTCTATTTTCCTGGAATACGCATGCTCGACTTCACTGTAGGGCATTCTGGGAATACAACTGTAGATAAACTGTACCATGTAAATTTCGTTTAATTAACTGAAAATACATATGATCTGAAGTTTTGTGGTTTGTTGTCTAAGCTGTATACAAATATGTTAAAAAAGTAACAGTTAAACTTAGGTCTTATAATGCCAAGACTGAAGAGATCGTTTAATTCTAAAAGAATACTAAATAACCAAGTTTTTCTTAACTTCTTTCTGGCAAGCTCGGAAAACAGTCTCGGATATATATGTTGCCAACCTGATTAAAATCTTGGCCTTGTGCAGCAATCTATGTGAGCGGATCAAAGGATCTGATTTTAATCAGATTGTATATGTTACCGGAAAGACCCGAGAAGATGCGATTGCTACAAAACAGTACTACACTGGGTTATTTTAAACTAGGTGCCCATACCTAGGTTCTACTGATCTCTTATATTTCACCTCAAAATTGAAATAACAGTAAGCTACAGAATGCTTAAAGCACAGTTAATGATTTATGCCATCGCAGATGTGAAGCCCACTTTCACCATTCATTCTGAATTGAGACCCCCCCCCCACCTTACACCACCCCATTGCACCACTGCGCTTATTAATAATTAATCGATTCAGCAACTTAACAAAGGGTTCAGATATCTACCTCTGTGTTTTATGATGGCTAACGCGCTAGCTCACCTATCTTTTTTAAAAGATAAGCTTGTCATCAGTATGGTAAGGTTTATACATTTTTTATGCTAATAGAAGGAATAATATTAATATTGATAATCAAAATAACCTAGTTTTTACAGAATATATTTTTGTAATGTAAAATTGCATTTTTGATAGAGTGAAAATGGCCATGAATATAGTAATGGTAATGAATGGTAAAAATATATAATCTGTGTTCCTTGCGAATGGAATTTGTACCAAAAAAAATGTGTTTGTGAAACACCAATGGCATTCCCCTGTAGGGCAGCTCATCGCGAAGGTTAAAGTTTCTCAAATGCAAGTCAAACTCCAAGGTCAAGAGATAAAAAAAATATTGGTACCAAAAGAAAGGATTACATCTGTGAAATATGAAATATGAAAGCCCTAGCACCAACCGTTCAAAAGTTATGACCACGGTTAATTTTTTTTTCAAAAGTAGGTCAAACTCCAAGGTCAAGGTCAAATATTTGTACCCAAGGTAAGGTCTTATCACAAGAAATACACATGTAAAGCCCCAGCACCAAACGTTTAAGTTATGGCCAAAATTTAATCTTGCAAATATGAGTTAAACTCCAAGGTCAAGTCACATGTGATATATGAAAGCCATAGCTTCAACCAGGGACCTACAAACCTCGTTATCTCGAACGTACTCTATGGGACCGAGAAAAAAACTTCGAGATATCCGAAGATTCGAGATATCCGGGGTAAAATACTTAAGGAATAAGGGTTTGGGACTTCAAATCACTTCGACATATCCATGGTATTCGGGATATCCTTGTTCGAGATACCGAAGTTCAACTGTATATGCTATAGTCCTTGCTTCAATCAATCAAAAGTGATGGACAAGGTTAACGTTTTTGCGGACAAACAGGCAAACAGACAGACCGAGAGACGAACAGAGCAAAAAGTATATGCCCCCCGAATCTTCGATTACTAGATAAATAACTAGGAAAGATGTACTTGATAATGCAATTTTCATCGGGATCAAAAGTTCGTTATTTTCGTTTTTTATGTACACCCGTCATGGAGGACGATGAGGCAACAGATGAATTATTCGTTGCAATGCAACCTTCGTGAGTATCTCAATTGATTGTCGTAGATTTTATTCATTATCACAGGTCATGTAAAACCATCAGAAGTCCTATTGAGACAGTATCATCATGAGTATGTAATGTGTGCATCATGCGGTAAGCAGCGGTATTACTGCAGTATATTGCACGCTTGATGTAATTGCTGAAGATGGAGGCCCCAAAATGGAGTGTCAGAGATTGCTAGGGGGAGAGCTTATTATGCCATAGCATGCAATATTTTGAGCTTCTTGTTTCAATATCAACACTAACCTATTAGATCTGTCATTTCAGTTTCAGATACTGAGATAGAGTGTGAGAATGTCAGCGTCTGGCACAGTCTCTTGTCAAGAATCTTGATTTACTTATATATAGCTTGAACAATGTTGAATTAGCTATTTAGTTTGATTCCTAAAAGCTTGATTCAGCTATTTTTTCTTACTTTTTTTAAATCTGCATTTTTTTCTGTGTGTAAAAAAGTCACCCTTTTATGCAGTGTATTTAGACGACTTTCACATTTACAAGAGTTATTTCCCATTATCAGGTCTGGGCGGCCTCCGTTTTTGGAGGATAGCTAGATTCAATATGGCGGCCAATTTTTTACCATATATGGAAACCGCATTGCATTGTGGGATAGTTTATCCTCCGATTTCAGAGGATAACACAGGTAATTTTCAAAGGCCTCGTGCTTACCTTTAATCAAAAAGTGCAAGCACCAGAGTACATGTAAATAAAATTTCAAACATTAAACTATCGATTGTATGTGGCGATTTGAGATTCTATGTCTAGATATTTTGTAATTTATTTTCAAAGTTGGCACTTTTTGCGGTCCATTATTACTGAATATTTCTTGTTATTTTGTGTTATTTTTCATTTTTTTCCCAACTTAAACAAATAAAAAAAGGACTTTGATATTTCTTCGATATTTTCTTTTAATTCAAAAATGGAGGACAAAAGGAAACACAAAACGAAACGTATTTTAAGCGTATTTAAAATGCAAAATATACTCTGCCTTATGATTTAAGCAAACAAAACGATAATTAAAATGGATTGAATGAATAATTATAAAAATAAATAATTTGAATAGCATAAATAAATAAAATAATAATTTAACATGTTTGCGAAAAAATTAACATTTATTTATACAGCCATGTTTATACATGAACAAATAAAATATTACATAGTGATGTGCTTAAGAATTATAAAATGAAAGAAATAATACATGATTAAACTTAATTTTTCCAAAAAAATTTGATTATCAAAATTTCTAAACTGCTTATTACATAATTACGGTACTTGGAAATAAGCGTGGTTATAGTTTACCTCAGTCACGGGTAGGTAAGTGTAATATTTGTTTTCCAAGCTGTATACGGAATTACTGATTGACGGCAATTACAAAAATATAGTTATATTGATTTAATATCCAGAATTATCCATCATTATATGAAATTATACCTTTTATTTGTTTTGATTGCGAAATCAGCGCACAGTTCATAAGTGCAAGAGTTGTGGTTATTTGTTTGGTGAAGAGTTAACTGCCCTTGGTTTTGAAAATTCTGGTAGGTGGCAAGACCGCTATCCTCTGTTTTCAGAGGATAAAATCTATCCTCCAAAAACAGAGGCCGCCTAGACCTGATTATAGGGCCAATCTTGGGTCAACGTGCACATTAACCCATACTGTTTTTCCCTTTATAAAGTTATGAACTTTAGGAGGCCGTGTCTTAAATTACAAATTAAACCTGTATATATATGTTTATTATGTTTTCTATGTTGCCTATACCATGGCAATATGGTACAAAATTGTCTGAAAGCGTTTGAAGGTTTAAAATATTTACAGGTAAGTTACAAAGGATATAGAGAGAAAAATGATCGTTAAGTCAACAAAGAAGGATAACTCTTAATATTGTGAAAGTCATCTATTTTCAACTTTGTACTGTTCTCAAAACAATGCATGAAAAATTGCTCATCAAAACGCATCTCTTTTGTAGATTTTGCACTCAAAGTTCTAAAGGTTTTGGGGTATATAAAGAAATTTGTGACCACACAGTTACTTCTTGAATGAAATTATAAAGGAGGTCAATTCTAGACAACAAGCTAGATATTGGATTAGTAATAATTCAGCTCATTGTGAAGTATAGAAATAATTACCCATGCCTCATTGTTCACAAGATGGAAACAGTTACCAGTTACCAAAACAATGGAAATACATCTTTTGCTACAAATTTAGTGTTCAAAAGCCGCAATGTTGAAAGTATCATTGATTTGGATTGTTTTTAAATAGTCCATAGTACAAAAATGAGTGGTTACTAACTTTTTGTCTTTTTTAAAAAAAAAATTGTAAAAAAATGTAAATAAATAGATTTATCAAGTTTAATAATTTGATTAGCTGAATAAAGCTATGTAGATAATTTAAGCTACATGTATATAGCTAAATCAAGAGATTGTGCTGGACCTGGTCAATGTGGTTAGAATATCTCATTATCCAATCAAATAAAACATGATTCTTTTGAAGCTCATTGAATAAACCTAAACTGGGTTATGTGTTGGCCATTTGACCAAATCTTATTAAATATGTTTATGAAGTCCATTAAACAGGTCCAGTCCAAATGCTATTTCTACCCATGTAGCTATTAATAGCTACATAGATATTTAAACCTACTTGAAGTAGGTACTTCTACCCACTTTTCCCTGTCTTTGAAAATAGAAATAACAATTAAGGCACGTCTTTAAGACAGGTCAGACTTGTTGTTTATCATCATGATCATGTGCAATAGCACAGCAAAATTTGGGATGTAATTTGCAAACTTTACAAGGGAGGAGAATGGAGATGAAAAGCCTGAAAAATCATCCAGAAAAACAATTATCTTCATGTAAGAATGCATGAAGTAAGCATGGTAAGTTAAATTTGTACAGATTACAGATTTGTAAGACATTTTAGGCTTCTTACCACATTGGTTTAATCTTTATACTCTAGAAAATGAAACTGGGTGTAGTTATATGTACTGATGCAGAATAGCTAATTTAGAAAATAATAATTTTTTTTGGCCATAATATCTGTCATATTCTTCGTCAGTGTGACTGTATCAAGAAATTTGGTGCTCCCATATTGTGCCAACCCTGTATTTGGCCACAAAATGCAAGTAATGCAAAAAGTACCGGTAGGTAAAAATAGCTACCTGGAATCAGGGCTCGAAATAATTGATGGCCCGCTGGTCTGGGGCCAGTGAATTTTCAATCTGGGCTAGTACATTGCAGAGGGCATGTGCCATTTGGGTCAGCATTTTTAATGCATAATAAAATTCACTCACATTGGGACTAGTTAGCTTGACAGGGTTGTGTGTCCCAGCTTCTGCTGTTTCTTGTTTTTCTAAGTATCACAATATAAAAAAATATTACTTTTATTATTATGGTTTTGGTCCAGTCTTTTTACATAGTCTACTGTCCCAGTGGGACAGTGAAAGCACTAAGCTGACTAGTAAAAATTTAAAGCGATAGCCCGAGTGACCAGTAAACAAAAATAATTATTTCTAGCCCTGGGAATAGGTTCAAATATCTACATTCTAGGTAGCTATAACTAGCTACATAGGTAGAAATAGACTTTGGACAAAACAAGAAATAACAAAATGAGAAAGAATGGAACAAGAAACATTTACAAAACAATTATCTCTACATGTCAATAAGGAAAACAGTTTTGCTTTTGACTAATTTTTTTTAGATAACAGAGGCTCCATTAAAAAATATCCCTTTAGCAACTTATGATTAATAAAGGTCAGAATGTTAATCAGAAGGAAGGTGGTACTGAAAAAAAAATCTTTTTTAAAAATATAAACCACTGTATCAATAAACTCTCTGCATGAAGGAAAAAGTATAATTAGTGTGCTACAAAATGAGCATTAGGATTGGTTCTGTAGTGTCAAAAGGTCACTGCCAGGAGTCTTGCAAGAAGTATGCGAGAAAACCTTTTTTTTTTTTTTGCTTTTAGAGTGTAATTTTCCCCCAGCTTTTTCCATTTTCATTTGTCACCTTCTATCATGTCTATTGAGTTTTCTTTTTCTGATAATGCCCTAGATTGTGTATGGGTCTATATCAGGGTATGGAAATCTGGAAATATGCTTTCATGAAACCTCTCATGCATGTCATGTATGAATGAATCTATAAAATTGAACAGAACAAAGGCAAAGCTTTGTAATTTAACAACTGATGGAATATAACTGACTATCCATCAACTGCCCCAGGTCTATATCCAACAACTGTCATTGCACCAGATCTATGACTATACAACAATGTCATTGCCCCTGGTCTATGACTATCCAACAACTGTCATTGCCCTGGGTCTATGACTATCCAACAACTGTCATTGCCCCAGGTCTATATCCAACAAACATCATTCCCCAGGTCTATGACCAAGAACTGTTATTGCCCCAGGTCTATGACTATCCAACAACTGTCATTGCCCTAGATCAATGACTATCCAACAACTGTCATTGTCCCAGGTCTATGACTATCCAGCAACTGTCATTGCCTCAGATCAATGACTATCCAACAATTGTCATTGTCCCAGGTCTATGACTATCCAGCAACTGTCATTGCTCCAGGTCTTTGACTATCCAACAACTGTTATTGCTTCAGGTATGTGACTATCCAACAACTGTCATTGTCCCAGGTGTATGAATATCCAACAATTGTTACTGCCCCAGATCTATGACTATCCAACAATTGTTACTGCCCCAGGTCTATGACTATCCAACAACTGTCATTGTCCCAGGTCTATGACTATCCAGCAACTGTCATTGCTCCAGGTCTTTGACTATCCAACAACTGTTATTGCTTCAGGTATGTGACTATCCAACAACTGTCATTGTCCCAGGTGTATGAATATCCAACAATTGTTACTGCCCCAGGTCTATGACTATCCAACAATTGTTACTGCCCCAGGTCTATGACTATCCAACAACTGTCATTGTCCCAGGTCTATGACTATCCAGCAACTGTCATTGCCCCAGATCAATGACTATC